ATCTATCTATCTATCTATCTATCTATCTATCTATCTATCTATCTATCTATCTATCTATCTATCTATCTATACATGCACATATAATGATACACTAGCCCTATAGTCTATATCATTTAGAATTATAGCCTAGAAATACTACCATTATTCTTCAAATAACAGGAAAATATGGGAAGGCTCTCTATCCATGAATTAGAATGGTGCAGGCATTTTATTCCATACTGTGATTTGTGGTTTCTAAAAGAAAATCAGTGGCATAAACAGATTTCAGGTCATTGTCTATGGATGGTAGAGTTTCCTAGGGAGGAGCAGAAACTGCATTTTTGCCTCTTGGAACTCCGCATGAAAGAGCGCCTGACTTCAAGGCGCTTGTCTTGTAGAGAGAAAGATTTTTACCTCTTACATATCTTTACAATTCCCATTCATTCAAAGAATGGGTCATCATTCCAAAAGGGCCCCTCAACCCCACAGATCTCAATTTGATCGTACTGAAATGTTCAAATAAAGCGTTTTTTTCTCTCCAGGAGTTTAACCCTGAGGAGTTTTACCATCTGCTGGAAGCGGCGGAGGACCACGCCAAAGAGGGCCACCTGATGAAAACGGACATCCCCCGTTACATCATCAGCCAGCTCGGGTTGACCAGAGACCCCATCGAAGGTAAGGGAGGGAAACCAAAATGTTGTACGGGGGTGATTTATTCAGGAAAAAAATCCCGGCCTGCTGATTCAGCCCCACTTGTTTTTCCCGTCAGACATGGTGAACCTGGAGAGTTACGACAGTGAGGGACCAGTAACGCCAGAAACGGATGACTCAGCGGAGGTAAGAACCAAAAAGAGTTTGGCTGATCCTCTGGACCATTCAGCCCTTTTTCTACATTTCTTAGCTGGCATTACGTCAGACTTGGCAGAGGACTGTTGCTCTCAGTGGAAACGTCTGCCTTATTTTCTAATGACTTGGCATGCCTGCTCTCTTTCATCTAATTTAGCTAACTCATGCTGAGGTTTATAAAACAGAATATCCCCGATCTCTGAAAGCCAGCCTTCCCTTTAGCATTAGGCAGGCCTCCAGCAGTCGACATGGAACTAATGAAACAAAATAAAAAGAGAAAGAGAAAGAGGGGGGAGAGTAGACTATGTAGCACCAATGTTTAAATCAAGTATATATTTGACATTCAGTGTCACTGTGTTGTGATCTTTGATCCGTAGGGTAAAATTAGAGCGATGAAACCACCCGGAGAAGCCGACTTTCAGACCATAAAACTGATCAGTAATGGCGCCTATGGGTGAGCTGTGCAATTTTCACTCTGCGATGTGATTTAGTTGCACGTTTGTGGCACTTGCAATAACAAAATTCTGCCTCCGACAACTTGAAATAAACAGAATTAAAGTAACGACTGATACGTTGCTTCCCGTGTGTCTGTGTGAACCAGTGCTGTGTACCTGGTGCGCCATTTGGAGACGCGCCAGAGGTTTGCGATGAAGAAGATTAACAAGCAAAACCTGATCCTGAGGAACCAAATCCAGCAGGCCTTTGTGGAAAGAGACATCCTCACCTTTGCGGAGAATCCCTTTGTGGTGTCCATGTTCTGCTCCTTCGAAACCCGGCGGCACCTCTGCATGGTCATGGAATACGTGGAAGGTGAGATGGAGATCTGTAGCTGTGCAATACAATAAGACCACTGTAAAGTATACAGTTGGAGTATTTCTCTACTTTGCGGTCACCCAAATAAACAACTAACCCAATAACCTGTGCGTAAGTCCTTAAAAAAAGTGAGCATCCTTCAGGAATGATGCAATATGTAACATTATCTTGAGGAGAAGCAGAATTTACAAAGAAAGATACCAACGGCACACTTTGATTTTTAAGAGGGCAAAGTATGAGGAAAAAGGGACAATGGCATACGGTGGAACAGGCAGTACTGGGAGAATAACTTTTTTTGATTCGTCTGTTGCCATTAGTGCAAATCAGTATGTGCTGTTAGGTGAAAAACATTGGACTGGGTTGCTGAATTATTGAAGCATACAGTACTTTTTTATCTTATTTTCACTCAGTGAACTTAAAACTTTGAATACATTCAGGAGATCTGTCGTCTCATGAAATGGCTCCATAGTTTAAGGTGGGATCAGTGAACTGGAGGGGCAACAATCGGCAAGATTGGGCCCAACAGAACTTTTGAAGCCTATGGATCAGTTTGTTCAAATAAGACTCTTCCACAATTAAGGAAAATAACGACCCACATTACCAACCCTATAGAAGGAAGGGAATGCGATCTGTATGAGGTTTCTTCAACCACACTGTAACACAGAGAGATCTCTAACTGAGCATAGTCTCAATGTAAAGAAACAAAGAATGACCTGGATATTTCAGAGTGTGCAACGACTCAAATGACAATTCAGAAGACATTCCTGATAAGCGCTCCTGTCAGGATGGCCACTCATGAGACGGTGAATTCTGAGACGGTGAATTCTCCCGGCAGGTGGGGACTGCGCCACCCTGCTGAAGAACATCGGGGCGCTGCCAGTGGAAATGGCCCGCATGTACTTCGCAGAGACCGTCCTCGCGCTGGAGTACCTGCACAACTACGGGATTGTGCACCGCGACCTCAAGCCCGACAAGTGAGACTCAATCCGTTGTTGTTATACTGATGCAGAGTTTGACCGGGAACTCGCCCCTGAATCTACCGTTTCGTTTCAGCCTCCTCATTACTTCCATGGGCCACATCAAACTGACCGACTTTGGCCTGTCCAAGATGGGTCTGATGAGTCTGACGACCAACTTGTATGAAGGACACATAGAAAAGGATACCCGGGAGTTTTTGGACAAACAGGTATGATGTGATGGATTTATAGTGAGACTTGTGATCACAGGAAGTGGTGCACAGGCCTTTAGAAACTCATGTCAGTTTTTTGGCATTGTAATTTAGATCAGATGCAGTACGTTGTAGGTCCTCTGCTGTCTTAATTTCTATGCAAAGATATTCCCCGTCATTGTGTGGCGGGCACGTGTGAAGCCCGACAGAATGAGAGCATTTACAGTTGGCAGAACAGCCCACCTCTATCTCCCCTAGTAATAACAATCCTTTCTCTTTTAAGTAAGGCTTATACTCTCGAGCCTTTCATTCGGTTCACGTGCTTTGAAACGAAGCCTCATTATATCCGGGCGCTCTCAGGGCGTCATTGTGGCCGCCGGGAATCTGTTTGTCTCCATTTAGCGCGTGCCCATCTGCACATGAAAACACTCAGCAGGGCTTTCATCTTGTCTTGGCATCTTTGAGGTGATTAGCTTGGCGCGTGTGCGCATGCTCCTTCCAATACGGCGCGCCCGCTAACCAACTGTGATGATGTTTATTGATAAGAGAATACCGATGAGAGTCGAAACCCACCGTCTTTTTTCCTTTTAGGTGTGCGGAACCCCAGAGTACATCGCCCCGGAGGTGATTCTCCGTCAGGGTTACGGGAAACCAGTGGACTGGTGGGCCATGGGCATCATCCTATACGAGTTTCTGGTGGGTTGTGTGCCATTCTTCGGAGACACTACAGAGGAGCTGTTTGGACAGGTCATTACGGGTAAGGGATTAAAGCTCTTTAAGCTATCATGCTATCTATTTACTAGAAGATGTACTGTACCCCTTGCCACATCCACACGATATCCTGTGTCTTCACTAAAACTGCATCTTTTTCATCGTGTCTTGCTCTTGCCTCGTTCCCCACTCTAGATGACATCGTATGGCCGGAAGGAGATGAGGCTCTTCCTGTGGATGCCCAGCACCTACTGTCCTCCCTCCTTCAGAGGAATCCCCTCGTTCGGCTGGGCACAGGTCAGTCGCCATAGGGAAAATGCTCGAGCCCTCTTATTTCTTACGACGTACGTTTTCACTTACCCCACTCGACACGTGCTCCTGCGTGCTTTTCTGTAGATTCATTGCCCATATAATTTCCATAGATGGGCAATGAAGTGCCAACACATTGGTGCATCCCAAAAAAAAGAAGAAGAGGGAAAGATTTAGCCCCTTCGAGCAGAAGATTATGGAAGCCAGTAAAATAAAATACTGAGAGTGCTAAATCTCTGCAGTGTTCTCTGCAGTCAAAAATGTAAAACTCCGATCCAGGCTCATAATACTAATCTTTGAAACTACAATGATAGGATAAATATTTGCCAGCATGCAGAATTATCATAAAACACACCAGGCAATTTTTCATTCACAAAATCGACATCTGGCTCAGTTTGGAAGGCTACATTGGAAGGTAGAACCTCGCCATTTATGTAGATAAATCCATCATTATTTCAAGATACAGTACATAAACGTAAACAATTCATCTGAAAATAAGCATGACCAATTTTAAATGAACCGATAAGGACATTCAGCAAGATTGCTAGCTTACACAAGCCCTTAATAACACCCGGGACTATGAAACAATGTTTTCTGGTTGAGTTCTTTCATCTATTTTCATCTATTAAAGATGTTTATTTCAATGTTTTGCCTGCTTAATGCGGTTTTGCCCCCATTTATATGATCTCATAAATGAGGTACCTATCTATATCATTCAACCACGGTATGAAGAAGCAGAACTGCTGTACAATTCTGTTGCTATAATGCCAAACACGACAAGGGGGAAAAAAAAACAAAAAAAAACAAAAAAAAGACTGCTGTTTTGCAAAGTAATGACATTGCTGAGTTTACACCGACATGGTGGCTGCACTCAGTAAATGAGAAGAGAATATTCCCAGATATTGCCCACAGGTTTGAGTGTTCGAGCACAGTCTGATTGCTTCTCAGGAAACATAACTTTGGCATGACCATGGGACATTGTATTTTTAAAGGACTGTCACAATGTAAAGGTTGGGGGAAAATTCATAACAGCCTAAATGGAATGTTCTGTAAAGGTTGTCCAAGGTAATTCATATCATGGACATTCAGAAGACATTCTAAAGATTTTCAAAGAACCTGAACCAAGATAGAGCTATGCTAATGTTAAAGAACGCTTTAATGCAGTAATCTACATTTCACGTTTTTACTGCAGGATAGCATTTGTCCTTGGAGTTAAATTGAAAAAAAATCTAAATCACAGTAACTGGCCCTTGGGTATATCTTTAAATGAATCTCACTGACCAAGAAGATGATCCGTTGTCATGAATTCAGCTAAGCTCACCCCAAACAGGTTGACTTCAGCTTACTTCCCTTCCTCTGTCCCCGTAGGTGGTGCTTTTGAAGTGAAGCAGCACTCCTTCTTCACAGAGGTGGACTGGAACAGCCTGCTCAGACAGAAAGCAGAGTTCATCCCTCACTTAGAGTCGGAGGAAGACACCAGTTATTTTGACAGTAAGTTTGCTTCGGGGGGGCATTGAGGATGCTCCGGAAAAGTCTGCTTTTACCTTCGCTTCCTCTCCGAATCCTCTGAATCATCCCTCGTGAGTCATCTTAACTGCGCTCTACTATGTTATTATTGTAATTTCCGTAAACACAGCGAGGCATTTGTTTGTGTGTTGTGCATTGTTAACCCTCAATACGACAATTTAGCATAATGAGGGTAGTCAGTCACGGCTTTCCACGTTGACTGCCTTCTTCCAATTGTCTGTCAGCCTGTGGCAGTATCTTGGAATGGAAATGAAATGTTAGAAAAGACATCCCACTGCTGCTGAAATGACTGACGTCTCGCCTCTTCTCGCCGCCAGCTCGCTCCGAGCGCTACCACCACGTCCAGTCTTACGACGAGGACGACACCAACGACGACGAGCCCGTGGAGATCCACCGCTTCTCGTCCTGCTCGCCTCGCTTCAGCAAGGTCCGAGTCTTTCTCCCCCCTTGGTCTTGGCGATTCACAGTTCCGCATAACGATAGTGTAACTCTGTGATGTTGTGTGGACCTGAAGGTGTACAGCAGCATGGAACATCTGTCCCAGCTAGAGCATAAGCCCCACACCGTGACCCTACGGGAGCATAAGGCCTCCAGAGAGGATCGGGTGGCCAAGAGGGAAAGCCTGGGGAGCGTCACGCTCAGAGACAAAAGCTGGAGGACGGGTTCTCCTGAGATGTGAGCACGGAGAACTTAGCGGAGAGAGAAAACAGAATCCTAGATACATTCTGTTTCAGAGAGTGTACCGACTTGCTTCTGTCGTCTTCTGTCTTTGTTCAGGAAGCGCTTGTCATGCTCCGAGTCCTACTTCTCCGAGAGCGACTTCAGCCCGCCGTCGGGGGCCCGGAGACGCTTCTCCGCCCTGATGGAGCCACACCGCTTGCCGGCCCCCCTGGAGCTGGACTCTGAGCCGCCCGCCCCGAGCAAGCAGCCTCCGGTCAAGACCAGGGGGACCTCCCTGGAAGGAGCCATGGGCTCTCAGATCTCCTCTCCCGGAGATCTGAGAGCCTTCCTCAAAGACGGTAACGGCCTCGCGGCTGGAGGTGAGACGGGATGAAGCAGCACGGCCAATAGTGCTTTTACGGGTCTTTATGAGAGGCACCTGACCCTGGCCTTTTTCATGTTTGGTTTACGCCACAGACAAGGTTTTGAGACCTGCCGACGCGGCGTTGCCTCCGCCGGCCTGCGCCACCGTCCTGGGGCTTCCTGACCCACAGGCCCACCGTGGGGCCGCCACAGACCTGGTGCTGCGGAGGGTCCGGCACCAGCAGCTGTCGGCCGAGGGGGAAAAACAAAGCTCGCGACCAGGAGCCAAAGTCACCAAATCTGCCTCTGCTACCGCGCTGTCAGTCATCATTCCAGCAGGTAGAGCCTTACATTTGACCAACCACTACTACTACCAACCGCTACTATTTCAAGAGGAGTTTGGCATCCAGACTTTGACCATTTTGCTTTTCCCAGTGGAGCAACACAGCGCCTCCCCCCTGCCGAGCCCGGCGTCCCCCCGCTCCCTCTCGTCGAACCCTTCCTCTCGCGACTCCTCCCCCAGCCGAGACTACTCGCCCATGGTCAACGTCCAGCACTCTCCCATCACCATCCACCGCTCGGGGAAGAAGTACGGGTTCACGCTCCGGGCCATCCGGGTCTACATCGGGGACAGCGACGTCTACAGCGTGCATCACATGGTCTGGGTGAGAAACTGGGGCAAACGGTGCGCCGAGTTGATGACGGAGTAACATTAATAATGCAAATAGAACTGCTTCTGCCATTACGGGCTGCACTTTGCACGCACGATAAAGCCGGATGTGCTTTATATTAAATTGTTAAAGTAAACATGATACAAATACATAATCTTTTCTTGAACAGTTCATAAGTTAAACTGAATACAAACCCGGATCAGCACCAAAAAGAAGGACCACTGTGATCTCTCTATGAGATCAGATCACCCAGAGCAGAAACAGCTTCTGTCATTTTTCTATATGATGTTATCCTTCTCTTGCATAATTTGGGGGATTTTTTTTCCAACCCTTGGTGAGCTCCAATTTGTCCTTATTTTTCCACCTGCAGCTCACATGATATTCTACCTTATAATAAACCTTAGAACTGAAAGAGAGCTCAGTTTCTGTTCCCAGTAGAATTCGTCTGCAGTCTGTAGTTTATGATAACTGATTTACCGATAATCTGAGGCCGTTCTTTTATATCAATATTGGATCAGTTATGCAAAGGTAAAAGCACAGCAGTTTATGGTAAGCATTCAGATTCAAGTTTCAAGTTTTTTTTCACAATCTGATTCATAGTACAGTATTCTAAATACCTTTTTTTATTTTCTTTATTGGGTCGAAATGGAAGGTAGTCTGAATAAGTATTACAGGATGATGTCATACATTAGTCTGGAGGGCAAAATCTGTTACATTGATTTCTGTCCGGATTTGTTTCTATCTCAGCATGTGGAGGATGGGGGTCCTGCCCAGGAGGCCGGACTCAGTGCTGGTGACCTCATCACACATGTGAATGGAGAGTCAGTCCATGGTCTGGTCCACACAGAGGTGGTGGAGCTCATTTTGAAGGTGAGAGCTATTGAAATCTAAGACGATATGTTACATAGTTCAGTTCAACTCAACGCATAAATATCTACATACGCGTGTTTCTGTAATCCACAGAGTGGAAACAAAGTTACAGTCACCACTACCCCCTTTGAGAACACTTCCATAAAAGTGGGTCCCGCCCGAAAATCCAGCTACAAGTCCAAGATGGCACGGCGCAGCAAAAGGACAGGAATCAAGGAGGGACAAGAGTAAGTTGCAACATAGACACCCATTAAAACTTGTTCCGATTGAGCTTTTTGGGGTTGTTTTTCTTTTGTATCCTCACTTGTTTATTTTTGTCTTTCAGTAAGAAGCGCAGCTCCTTGTTCAGGAAGATCACAAAGCAGTCCAACCTGCTCCACACCAGCCGGAGCCTCTCCTCTTTGAATCGCTCTTTGTCTTCTGGAGACAGTCTTCCGGGCTCCCCCACCCACAGCCTCTCCGCCCGCTCACCCACTCAGACCTACCGCTCCACTCTGGAATCCTCTTACCTTGGTTAGTATGAAAAAGAAAAAACAAAGAAAAGAACGGACTCCCCATCAGATGTGATAATCTAGAAGAAATACGAGTATGTGATTCATAAAACAGTTCCCCTTGTTACGAACTGCGGTGGGATCCAATAACACCCAGGCACGGAACAGTCAGTGAACAGAGTTTATTTAAGCGGGAGCGTGGGGGCAGCCCGGAGGGGCGTGGCCAGCGTAGTCCCGGCTCGCAACAGGAAGGCTCGCAGCTCAGCAGGGGAATAATCCAGAACGGGGTCCAGGAACGTACCAGGGTCAGAACCAGAGAAGCAGTCCGTGGGGGGCAGGCAAAACTCAGAGTCACGGGCAGGCGAGGTCGATAACGGGTAAGCAGTCAGGGTCGGTCAGGAGAAGCAGACGGGGATCAGGCAGGCTCGGAATCAGGCAGACGGAAACAGGTCGAGCAAACAGGCGATCAGGATGCAGGAATGCTTGAAGTTCTTACCGAAATGGTTTGAGACGTTCCGGCACTGGAGGCAGGCGAGAGCGGAGCTTAAGAGGAGGTGGTAGCAGGTGGATCCAAACTGGTTAATTTCAGAGGAGAGATGGTAGGTGGAGCCAGCTCCAGTGCCAGAACGTCACACCCCTCCTCTGTCTCCTCAGGCACGTCTTCTCAGAGCAGCTCTCCGGCCTCCAGCACTCCCAATTCTCCGGCAGCCTCTCACCACATGAGGCCCAGCTCCCTGCACGGCCTGTCCCCCAAGCTCCACCGCCAGTACCGCTCGGCCCGCTGCAAGTCGGCCGGCAACATCCCGCTCTCCCCTCTGGCTCACACCCCGTCCCCGACCACCTCCTCCCCTCCGCCCCTCTCCGGCCACACGGTGGGGAGCTCCAACACCACCCAGACGTTTCCGGCCAAGCTGCACTCCTCGCCCCCCGTCACCCGGCCCCGGCCCAAGAGCGCCGAGCCGCCCAGGTCCCCGCTGCTCCAGCGGGTGCAGTCCGCCGAGAAGCTGGGGGCCCAGATCCTGCCCTCCTCCTCTTCCTCGTCCTCGTCGCCCTCCCCCCTGACGGGCGGGGTGTCGCTGCGCAAGCACAGCCTGGAGATCGCCCACGGCGACTACCGGAGGGAGTCCTTCCACTGCGAGCACAGTCTGCAGAGCCTGCTGGAGATGGAGGGGGAGAACGGCCCCGCCCCGCCGTCCCCGTCCTCGTCCTCCTCCCCGTCGCCTCCGTTGGGGGGAGACGTTGGAGGTCTGAAGCCCGCGAGGAGGCTGGGGAGGCAGGAGTCGCCTCTGAGCCGCGACGCGATGGTAACGGTCAGAGAGAAGGACACCCAAACGGCCGCCTCTGTCCTCTTTGCATCGCAAACACTTCCGGCTGAGGAGTCTAAGACCAGCCCTGTTGAAACCAGTAAGGTGTCCTCCACTGTTGAAGCGGGAAAGAGTAAAGGAAGTGTGACTACAGGTGAAATCAAGCCCAGTAGCTCATCGGCGGACACCGATCTCTGTCCTGGGAACAAACCTCCAAAAGCAAGTGCCTCAGCTACAGAGGCAGTTGCTGCCAGTAGTAAAGCCAGTGATAAAATTCCTGCTCAGCAAGACGCCAAGCAGCAGAGTGTGGAAACAGAGGGTGGATCTAAAGCACCGGAGAAGAAAGAGGAGAGAGAAAAGGGCTCCGCGGCTGCCAACAAAACCGGCGCGCACACACATCAGTCCAAGCAAGGCAAAGGCACAGAGGCCGCGGAGAAAGAGGGCGTCGGCGAGAGCGTCAAGGCGACCAAAGGACCCGCTCCCCCCGTGCCAGCCCAGGTCCAACCCCATCCCGGAAGCAGACCCAGAGGCGGGAAGAGCGAGAAGGCGCGCCTGGAGGTGCTGGAGGAGAACCCCGCGTCCCCCTCGTCGAACGCGGCCTCCCCCTGCTCGGCCAAATCCCGCCCCGTGTCCCCGGGAGACAAAGCCAGCTTCGTCACCCAGCTCACGAGCGTGGCCAAAACAGTGCTGGGCCCCATGAAAGGGGGCTCGCAGGAGGGGGGGAAGGCAAAAGACGCCTCGAAGACGGGGGAGGAGAGGAAAGCGGGCGCGGGAAAAGCCGAGGCTTCGTCCGGGGCCGCTCGCCGGGGGGGGGCCTCGGCCAGCCCCAGCACCGCTCTCCCCGACCGAGGAAACAGCCGCGGCCCCAAGCATCACTCATGATGAAAGAGAGACCCTCCCATGCGATGCCTTTTACTGTAGCAACACGCTGACATATCATGACTGGATAGGTCTTTAAATTAAGCGAGAAGATATAAAATGCCTGAAGAAAAAAACAAAAACGAGAAGAAAAAAAAACACACACCAAAAATATGACATGCGACATGTAGACCAGACGTGAACAAACAATGCATCAGTTACTGTCGGAAAATGTGTGCACACGGTGTTATAATGTAGACCTGCGTATGTACTGTATGTCCATCACATTATGTTATGTACATAGTCAAAACAAATGCATATGTCTTAATGCATGTGTGACGGCGGAAGATGAACGAATATTTAAAAAGACGATAAAAAAAATAAAAACAGCAGACCTTGAGGTAGAGAACACTGTGAACAACTTTTCAACCGAACACAACCACAGGCAGGTTTTGAGCTGATTCTGTTAGAAACGGGCATTAGTTGTGTCACGGGTTGGCTCCAGTGCCATCTTTTAGTTTCCTTTGAGTTTAGCTACTAAAAGCTGTCAGGCACAGAACGACGGGATGAGGAATATCACAAACATGCCAGAAACTGGACCAAGAAACCAAAACACTCAAAGCGAAGGAGTCGGAGGTTGGAGTCTTCAGATATGCTTAAGGGCTGACTTTTAGTGGGATAGGAAGAAGTAGAGTTGTTTAACTTGCACAGGGACACTATGCAATGTGCTGATGAGGCCACTTTTTACCAGTGTCCCCGATCCCTAGGTTTACATTGTACTTAAGACTAGTGGGGAGGGGGGAGTTAGTCGAAAAGGTTGCAATAAGCCAAGCAAATGCTTTTTAAAATTTCTCTTAAGTTTTTTCTGCTGATCATAGTGAAACGTGCAATTGTAAATTTTAGATTATCATGTGAACAAGTGTGCTTAGAGCGTGGTGAGAGAGGCAAACCGGATGGAGACGCATAGTGAAAGCAGCAAATAGAGGAGTTCACACATTTCTGTTCACGCAGAAATATCGGTGTATCGTATAATGTTAGATATGAACGGAAGTGCCAGTGTTTTCATTTGGGATCGTGTGACCTTTTTTTTTTTGTGTTTTTTGTACTTAAATGTATGACGATATGCAAAATCCTTTTTTTTTTTTTCTAGAGAACTGAGCATTCTTGTGGGTGAAACTGTGGCTGGCTATTCGTAAAAACCAGGAGTAGAGTCTTAGTATTGAGGTCTTGTTTGTTGTTGTGTGTTAACAATGTAGATTTGGGATGCCAGGCAACAGACCTGTCTTAGACTGCCACCCTGTGGACCACATGAATACACGCTAGACGTTTAGAGGTGTAATAAAATCATTCTACTGTTCGTGAGAAGTCTCAACACATGTGGATGTCATCATTCCATGTTGTCTGATTATGATGCAGAATTTGGCTGAATCTACATGACTTTTACATTAGTTTTACGTCATCATTCCACCCGAAATGATGTAGTGGATCAAGAAGACACTAACCTAATGTTTGGACATCAAGCATCAGTGTTTTTGTGTGTAATGTGACAGAATTGCACTTTATGTTGTGTTATATATATATATATATATATTTATAATTTTGTCGATAATGTTTTTTCTATTTGCTCTATTTATTATTATTTCCTCTGTATTTGACATTCTGCCGTAGGCCTGCTGTTTACAATAGTTGAGGTAATTTAGAAATATCTTGATTTTGCATATAAACAAGGAAACCCACCAAATCAGTGTGATCACCCGCATTTTGACTGGTCCTTTAGATTCTTTAACCTTTAAATCTCAACTTGCAATGTATTGTTAGAGTCGTGTCCATATTTGTCCAAGTGTTTGTCTTTTCTGTTCTTTTCAAACTCGACTGTTTTTGTCCATTACATTTCGACATATTTAGCAGTCACTGTTGTCCAGAACCAATGCGGGGAGGCAAAGAAAAAAAAAAAAGTTCTACAGAGAGGAGATGTAATAAAAAGCTTAAAAACCCACTGCCTTGCCTGAAATCTTTTGATTATACCCATCTTGAAGTCTTTCCCAAAAAGAGGAAAAAAGTTAACCTGGGTTTGGCTGGAAAAACCTTTCGACCAATCACAGAGGCGTTTACAGGTGGACCACCGTAAACAGGAAGTGACGTCACACACATACTCCGCTGTCTCCGCTCGAGGAGTTAAAGGGCCGCGGAACGTCAGCGAAACCACACCGAAAATAGCCAACGTTCAGCGTTAAATGAACTCGGGAAAAGTCGCAATTAAAAGAGGAAGAATGACGTTCCCACAATGAAGGTGAATATGATAACACTCGCGCGTCAATTAAGCGTGTCGGCGGCAGTTTCCACCGTTTTGTGTCGTTGCTTGAATCTGCTTGTAAACGGTTAGTTTCGCCGTTTGAGTCAGTTGAGAAGTTAAGTATTAAAATTCAATCAATGCGACTGCACCAGCAGACTTTTGAAAAAGTGGGACTATTTTTAGTTTATGTGTTTACTTGTGTTTTAAAAACTATCACCACAATTTTTAGTTAACTGGGTTGCTTTAAACATGAATGTGGAATGGCAATTAAACTGTTTTATGATGTGCCATTTAAATGTTCTTTAGTTTTGACCATTTCCGGTGAAGACGTTCAATTTAAAAAATACAGTGATCTTATTTCATACAAGGCTTTGTTAAAAATAATAATAATAATAATAATAATAATAAAAATAAAGTGCTTACCAATCACATCTTTTTGTTTTTTAATATCAGTTTTGCATAACTCGTTAGATTATACAGTGTTTCCCCAAACCGCTGCTAAGAAGAATACAACAATCCTGTTAGTTTTTCTTTCCCATCCCCTTCATCTTGTTTACATTAAGATGAGTTAGACGCATACAGACACATTTACCTTTCATTTTCCCTCAAAATGACTTTTTTTTCTCGCTTTTCTGTGTAATAAGAATGGTCTTGATACCAGGATTCACCAGGCTTAGATTGTGATACAGTGAGCATGGGATATTATTTACACTCCACATGTTCTAAAATCTTCACCCGACTCTGAATCTGGGACATGATCTGTGCAGCGTTACCTCTCCCATCGTCCGTATGTGAGATTAGTTGTAAATTATTGTTATTCTCAGCAGAAATATATCTTACGCCATTGCATAAGTTTGCTTTGTAACACAAGTGTCATGATCAAACAAAATGTGTGCCTAACTTTCTCTTTTGCCAGTGAGTGTAGTTAAATTATTTTTATATATGTATATCTGAATGTACTGTTTATCCATTGACACAAATGTTCAGATCAAAGTGTAGCATGTGATGTTACCTCTGTAACAGCCTCCTGAGACACAAAAACTGCTGTTCTCTATAAGAGACAAGCGTTTTGCAGCTTTAATAATATTCTAATTCGATTTCATGCTAATGATTTCATTCAAGTACAGGCTCTGCGTGCAACAGCCGTTTTTCTTGGTTTTTGGTTACTTTTACTTCCCCCACCTGCTGCTGCATTACCCCCCATGCACTTCCTTTACACAGTATCATGTTTAGCTTTCACGTGTCTTTAGGTGAAGTGGGCCAAAATGTTGGTGAGAACCGAAGCTTCTCCTGCCGCAGCTACAGTGAAATATCTGGCATTCCTTCAGTCACAGGGTTCCGTCACATGCTCTCCCCTCCCACTTACTGTCACAGAGACTGGCTGGATTTGCGGTGGTTAATGTAAATGAATCAAATCAAGGCCGGGAAAAAAGAAGCTTTTTTTTTCCTAAGTAGCAATAATAAATGATACGATTAACTGCTCCCAGCTGCTTTGCTAACACTTTGGATGTGTTGTTTTATGATTCTTGGCAGGTTGCCGTGGTGAAAAGAGACCATCCCTCACTCATTCGTGGCCGTCCGCAGCTGTTATGAACCCCAGTTCGTCCACCAGTCGCTGTGATGGCTGCCCCGCTGCTACTGACCCCACGGATGATTGGCTCTTCCTTTCCCCCGAACCACCGGAGGCTTTGGACCAAGAGGTGTGCATGGAGGACCAGGAGGCCGAGGACAAAGGCAAATTCAAATCCAAATTGGTCTCGGCTTGGAACAGTGTCAAATATGGTCAGTCTTATCCGCCTCTCAGTCCGTCCCGAAGCTTTTAATGAAAGGATGTGTTCCTTCGGAGCAGTTTAACCTTCATATCGAATTTTTTCAGGCTGGTCCTTGAAGCAGAAATCAAAATTCCGCAAAAGCTCCCCGCTTGTCATGTTAGGAAAGTCCTTCAATCTCAGGGATGAGGGTGAGTTGTTGTTGTTTTCTTGATGTTTTATCCGTTTAGTGATAAAGCTGTCGCGTTCCATGTGATTCCAAAAGCAAAACAATAAATTGAGATTCAACTTCTGTAACTGTGCCAGGGGACAGAGAGTGTTTCCACCGCTCCTTTACGTCTCTCCTGTGGTTAACGTACAGACGGGGCTTCCCTCAGCTGCCCGGCTGCTCCCTGACAACTGACAGCGGTTGGGGTTGCGTTATACGCACCGGCCAGATGCTGCTGGCTCGAGGACTGCTCTTACACCTGATGCCCCCAGGTGACCACACATTCTCACACCTATACGGAGGTGGCCGTGTCTTTGAAAAAGAAATCCACCTCTCCGATGCATCCGATCAGACTGAATCCAGAGAAAGAACAGTTATTTTTCTCAATCTTGCACTTTTTTTTGTGATATCCTTTCGGATCCACAGGCTTAATTTGCAATTGCTTACCATCTGAAAAATTCAGCCTCTGAATAGATAGAAGCATTAGATGACCTTTAAGTATTTGCACACATTTACGCCTCCAGGCTTTTACTTTCAGCTATATGACCTCCTTTTACTCCACAGTTTAACCAAAAACTTGTAAGTTTCCCCAAGAGAAACTTAATATGAGGCAAGGTAGTTTTTAGGTTTTCTCACATGGTCCTCAGCTTCCAAGTCCCAGAGACAGCACAGAAAACCACTTTAAAAATGTGCCCTTTCTCGACCATTATTGGTCCAAATCTGATTCCTCGCGTCTTTTACAGGCTGGCTTTGGTCCGTGAGATACTGCGCGGTGAAAGATGACCTGGACCTGCTTCGCCCCGCGGACAGCGCTGGCCCTTCAGAAGACAGGCCCGCCAAGATGGGCCGAAAACTGAGCCTGGGCTCCGTCCTGGACAGGCCCATCGAGGCCACGCACAGAAAGGTGGTGTCTTGGTTTGCGGACCACCCCAGTAGCCCCTTTGGGATACACCGGCTGGTGGAGTTGGGCAAAAGCTCGGGGAAGAAGGCCGGGGACTGGTACGGTCCCTCCATCGTGGCACACATCCTACGGTGAGAGCTGAGTTGGCGACGTGCGGTTGTGCTATTTCAAAGGAGGCTTATGGAGGCGTAACGGTGAATTTCGCTGTGCTTCAGGAAAGCTGTGGCAGCTTCGGCGGACCTCCCCAATCTAGCTGTGTATGTCGCACAGGATTGCACAAGTCAGTGTACCGTTTCGTGCTCTTCTTTGCGATTCAAAGGAGACGAGTGGAGGTGGACGCCTCACTAAACTGGTCTCTTTGATTGTGACTCCCGCAGTCTACCTGCAGGACCTGAGGCGGCTCTGTGAACAGCCACCTCCACACTCCTGGAAGTCTGTCATCATCCTGGTTCCCGTTCGACTTGGAGGACAAGACCTCAATCCCTCCTACATCTCCTGCGTCAAAGTATTTAAACAGAGTTTGTATGCATTCGAATATGTAAGTGTCGGAGTAGTTTATGGCCTCACTAAGAAGGTCCTTGCGTAATTTCCAATGAGTTTTCCGCTAATTTTAGTATTCCAAACATCAGCACAGACCAGCTTTTCTGCACTCCAATGGACCCAAATCTTTCATCTGTAGTGTAAAACAAGAAAAAAATTAACTTCTTTCCAGCTTTTTGTATTATCAAGCCGTTCTTTGAATGCTTGTTTTCCCCCCATAGAAACTCTTGCAGCTGCAATGCTGCATTGGAATAATTGGCGGCAAACCAAAGCACTCTCTGTTCTTCATTGGCTACCAAGGTATGCCTGGTAAAGTTCTCACCATCGTGGTGCTCCGCTGTGTGATCAGCTCTTTTTGACTCCCTTTTTTTTGTCTTTGCTTTGCCAAAGATGACCATCTGCTGTTCTTGGACCCTCACTACTGCCAGCCCACAGTGAATACAACAAAGGAAAACTTTCCTTTGGAGGTACGAATTGCAATTTCGCTCCCTTGTCATGCTTTCTGTGGTGTTTCCTCCCTTGGCACCTGTTCCACTGATATACAGCTTTGTGATGATTCCAGATCTCCGTGATCATAGTCATGTGTTCATTTAAACTGATGCTAGACCAGATGGTCTAAAAGGTGATACTCACTTGTCATTTTTTACATCTGAACTTTTAGAAGTAAGCAGGAAATCTAAGACCAAAGAGCTAGCTTGATGCATAATATATTAATCAATCCACTCTTCTGTTTCTCTCCACACTTCTGACAGTCATTTCACTGCAAATATCCCAGGAAGATGCCTTTCTCCCGCATGGACCCCAGCTGTACCATCGGCTTTTATGCGGGGGGACAAAAGGAGTTTGAGTCCTTCTGCACAACTGTCGATGAGGTGTGTGTTTTGCCGCTTGCATCTTTGTGCACTGAAACCTTTAGCCTGAAATGTCCGCGCTCTGAAATCCCGACGTCACAGTTCAGTCCCTCTGTCTCGCAGGCTCTTTGTACATCTGCTGCAACGTACCCCATGTTTACCTTCGTAAAGGGAGAGAGTCATGAGGACGGAGGCCACACGCCCGCACACACCGTCACCTATCTAAAGAGGAACAATGAAATAAGGAGAGGCAACACCCGCAGCAGCATCGATGAGTTTGTTCTTCTGTGAACAGAAAAGGATCAGACCCGTCTTGTCCTTTTTCCCCATTTTTTTAAATATGTGATTTTTGCACTCTTTGGCAACTACTGAGCAAAATAGGGTAATCAGCTTCCACATGAAGTTTAGCTAAAATAAATGGTTCAGCTATTAGTTGTGATTCTACTGTGTCTATATTGCTGTTTATTTTTCTCTTTGTAGTTTTATTCTCTTTTGCATCCCCCCACCTCCATCTATTGCAGCTAAAAGAGTGAATTGGTTAAGAACAAATAGTCACTTTGCACAACCTGTTCAAATGTCTTGAGTGGTTCTTTACTTTAAGCTACTGTTAACAACAGATCTGTGTTTCAGTTCATGTTAGAGAATGTGTTCACACTAAAATGGGAATCCCAAGAACAGGTGATTCCTGTTAATCCCAATGAAGAAGGTTACCTCTTCTGATGAAGAGACACACGTTAGAGCGATGAAATGAATGTCAGACAAGTATGCAGTTCATAATGTAATTACAGTTACTCGACAAATATATGTTTTGGATTGTTTTCAACTCGTTTCTGATCTGTAAATCTCATTAAAACATGTTGAAAGAGAAGCAATGCTGATTTGATCAGTCATTCTAGCTGCAGTTCACTGTGACATCCTAGGAAAGTCCCGTCATGTGTAACTCCATGGGCATGGGCTTTATCACTCCACCGTCCCACCGAAAAATAAGATCACCAAGAGACCTGCTCCATCTCCGAACCCTAGTAGCAAACTGGTGGTGGGTCATGTCTCACTTTGTACATCCATCCAAACTCAGTCTTCCTGCTGTGGAGATTTTCTTTTTTACGGTATGATGGAAATAGCTCCACAGTATGAGATGGTATGCTAAGGCTTACGGACACTTGGACTTCCCTGACCTGACTGTCCTTAAGCCTGTGAGTCACATGTCAAAGTGCCCGCTGCTGCATTTGATAGTCTATTTGATAGTCTTTATTTAGGGGCTGCATTTATCACACATGTTCATTTACTGTAAGTATTAGTGAGTAGCCACCAGGGTTTTGATCCCAGGGTTTTATGTGACCGGGGATAATAGGAAAGTCTTCTGTTTTTTCCCAGTTCTTTGAATTAGGCATATTCAACCAGATTAGCAACAATACATATTACAGTTTGTCACTGTACATTAATGAAAAAATAAAGAATGCAGAAGGATGGTGTGAAGAAACATTACTAATAAACAATGATCCATTTCAGTCTTTTGGGTGTGGATTTGACAAGAGGAAGACAGGTGAGGATTCTGATGGCAGGGAGCAGAGATTATTATTGTATTTAAATGTGTTCCATTACTCCTACACATTGCCTGAAAGCTCATGACTTCCCAAACGCTTGCTTATGATGAATTACTTCAGTAAAATTCATCATATCTACTTATGAATAACAGTGGCTTTGCAGGGGTTTATTTTAAACCCAGTAAGCACGTAGTCTTTTATTTCAAAGGTATACCTGGAAATTTATTACATGAATTGATTGAATTAATTTGCTCCAACATGAATTGAAAATACTGGCTTAATTGGAAATAATTAATACAATGTTATTGTCGTTGTTTCGATTGACAGATTGAGTCTCGCGATACTTTTACTCTAGTTTAGGTCACACGACGTCTCAACAGACGTGTTCGTTTTCAGGGTAACGCAGCTGTATTCGATTTTATTCGCGGTTTTATCCACGGTGGCGTGTGTCGGCAGGGCTCCCCTCCCCCCACGCCGGCTTCTGGCTGTTTTCGGGCCTCTCTGTAAAAACGCTCCGCTCTCGAACGGGCATGCAGCAGGAAGTGAGGGAGACCGTGGCAGGGGGCGCTGTCGAGTCGTATAGGCCCGTCTCTGCGATACCATCTACCAAGAGAGAGGGGGGGGGGTGAAGGAAAAAAACCAATTGGGTAGGTCGCTCTTTGTTTCTGTGTCGGAGAACTAAGGGACGCTGCGACCGGTGAGAATCCAAACATCGGGATTTCGCCACTTGTGTAAGTCCCCCAACGATCTCGTTCCCAGACGAGGAAACTTTTGTACGGGGTTTCGCGTCGCCGTTGTAGGGGGGAAAAAATGTGGCTCTGTAGATTTTTTTTTTCTCAGAGGGGGGAGAGAAAAAAAAGACCAGACCGACATTACAGACCCGCTGCTGTGGCGCGGCAGAGTGCAATGAATGAAAATTATTTTTGGAAATGTGCGAAGAGCGGAGCGCGGAGCCAAGGGTACGGGAGGCGCGTTGGATCAATCGGCTCCCACCGGCGCGTGATGCTCTAACCGTTCGCACGTTGGCCGATTATCGAGCTTAACGGAGGCAGTTTTTTGTGCTCAATTGGCCAGACGGAGCGTGGCCGGCTAGGCTAACACAACTAGCTGGCTAGCATGCTAGCCGCCGTCACCAAACGGCTTATGTTGTTGTGTTAGTCCGGGCTTTTTGCTTAGCCGGCGGCCGGTCTGGGTCGGCTTGTCTTCCCTACTATCTGCCCGTGTTGTTTTACGACCGAGCGAGGTACTCGGCGAACACAAACGACCTGTCGTAACGTTAATAGTAAAACTAGAATGGAAACAAGGGGCTGTAATGTTACCTGGGATATTAGCCTGGGCCCGGCTAACGTTAGCTAAGCCTGCCAGCGAAAGAAACTGTTACATGATAAATGGACTGACACAAATGAGTTTTTTTCTTCTTTTAGCTGATAAATCACTGTTTCTAAGAACTGCCTTTTATCTTGTAGAATAAGGCTTTATCAAGTGGTAGGTCCACTGTGTCTCTCTCCTCACAGTTATGCGCCCCGAGTGACGGTTAAGGCGACCTCATGGAGAATTATTGGTGTTTTTAGATCACATTTTCTCGATGAAAAAGATAAAAACCCATGCTATCCTATCTTTCTCTCGCCTGGAATGTTCTGAAACAATGTGGCACCAAACAGCAACACATCAACAGTCGCAATTTACATGACTGATCAGTCAGATCTGGCCTTATTTAAAGGGTATGCTATCCTATGAGAACATAAACAATGCCCCTCTTACCTTTCAGATGGTTTTAGGTGGGTTTGGTCCAGTTTATTGGACAGTACTTGAGTGCCCTGCAGGGTACGAGTGGAATTTGAAATACACAATGCAAGTCAAGCCCCTCCAAAGTTAAAAGAAAATAAATATTCTTCATGATCTGTAAGCCTCTGGGGGCATTCCTTTTGTTTTTATAGTGATGCTCAAATGTTGAACTGACATGACCTGTAGGACTGAAAAAACTTGTTGATGCCCTATTAAATTATCAATTTAGGTCCACTGTATGTGTTTGAAGTTTTTAAACAAAGGTTTACGTCTTTACTGCTTGTGTGTCTTGACATTGAGCGTTTTTTGGGATTATTTTAAATGTTTTTCTTTGGGACATCTTAAAACAGAAAATTCACTCTGTCCATCTTGTGATCTCTTTTTAGGGGTTTTGCTGCTGCCTCGCACTCCCCGTTTCCCCTGAGAGATGTCCACTCCTGATCCCCCGATGGGAGGGACACCTCGGCCCGGTCCCTCCCCAGGCCCGGGGCCGTCTCCAGGAGGCATGATGGGCCCGAGCCCCGGCCCCTCTCCGGGCTCGGCCCATAGCATGATGGGGCCCAGCCCGGGACCCCCAGGATCCGGACACCCCCACCCTCCACAGGGACCCTCAGGATACCCTCAGGACAACATGCACCAGATGCATAAAGTAAAAACTTATGGAAACTTGTTTATTATTTTCCCATTTCTCATTTACGGTTCATCAGCAGATCTAAGTTTAAGTGATTAGGCGGAAACAAATGTATCGGTTTTCATCTTTTTAAAAGTAGTTTGCCATTGATGGGTATTTATTGGTTATCACAATAGTTTTTTTTTAAAAGTTTTTTTCTATATCAATTAGAGGATCTTCAACCCAACCATGTTTGTTAAAGCATATACATTTGTTTGGCCTTATACAGCCCATGGAAGCCATGCATGAAAAGGGAATGCCAGACGATCCCCGCTACAGCCAGATGAAGGGTATGGGCATGAGACCAGGGGGGCACAGCGGGATGGGACCGCCCCCAAGCCCAATGGATCAACATTCCCAAGGTAACACCTTTTTTTTGTTTTGTTTTTTGTCTAGTTTTGTGTTTTATAGTGATGATGAAAGGCGAGTGTGTGGTGTTTCGACCAATTTTTCCTGTGGGTCGGAAAGCTTTGATTTTTTCTTTCTTTTTTTCCTCAAACCCCCCAAAAAAATCAGCAAACAAGGTGAAAATGTAGTCAGGTGCAAGAATTCAATGAGTGCGTGAACCTAACCAGCCGGTTTGTCCTCTCTTGCTGTTCGTTTAGCAGAAAGCACAGAAGGGGGCGGGGCTTGGGTGTGTGTGTGTGGGGGGGGGTTACCTTTCAGATAACAACAAAGGCAGCTGCATCTGCAAAACCAGTCAGTTAGCAAAAGAGGATGTGATGAGCGGGAGATGCACAGCCGCCCCGTGGCATTGTGACGGCGCACGCTTTGCATTTTCATACACCGATTCCCATTCTTATGAGGTCCTGATATTTATTTTTTTAAGAACAAGAGCTGACCACATACAAAACTATTATTGTCATTTTTTGTTGAAATCGAAAAGTCAACATTGTTGTGTCATTATTTATAAACCAAAAAATAAAAGTGAGTATAAGTGACCCCCAGCTTTGGTTATGACTCGTATGACTGCTTTCTTTTTATCTGAAAAGGACATATAATCCGCTTTTGCAGATATAATCAAACACGGTCAGTCATAAGTCAAAGCAGTTTCTCTGCAATTAAAGTAGATCTGCACAGGTTCGTGCAAATTTGAGAGTTCTGATTTCAGTCGAATGTGCGATTGTTTTTACTGTGCGCTTTATCAATTTGTTAGTTTTTTTGTTTTTATTATTTAACAGTTATTAGGTTAATTATTGGGTTGTGTAAGGTGGTGGGGGACCAAAACATTACATTTCTGATCATTTATCAGGCTCCGTTCAATCAAATTTTTTTCTTAGTTTGATGTTAACATGTCCATCAGTTTAATTTTTTTGAAATCTTCTTTAATTTTTTATCATCTTTATCTTCCCAGGTTACCCTTCTCCATTGGGGGGCTCGGAGCACGCTCCCAGCCCCGTCCCGGCCAACGGACCTCCCTCTGGTCCCGGGTCTGGGCCCATGGAGGGCGGCGGGGACCCCAATCAGGGCATGGTCCAGCCCAATCGCGGCGGCCCCCAGGGCCCAGGCGGACCGCCCGGTCCAGGCGCTGGCCCCGGCGTGGCGGGCGGACCCACTCCCTTCAACCAGAACCAGCTGCACCAACTCAGGGCTCAGATTATGGCCTACAAGATGCTGGCTCGCAGTCAGCCGCTTCCAGAGCACCTGCAGATGGCCGTGCAGGGGAAGCGGCCCATGCCCGGAATGCAGCCGCAGCCAATGCCCAACATGCCCCCGACTACGGGGCCTGGGGGGGGGACCGGTTGCTGGACCGGGCCCGGCTCAGGCCAATTACAACAGACCGCACGGTGAGTGAAGGAGGCCCGTTCTGCTTTACATGAAGATGAGCTGTGATCTAGGCTGTTTAAAACACGTTTTCTTAAGACATAAAAGTAGGTTTTAAAAATATATATACATATTTGAAGGTATGGTAGGTCCAAATATGGCGCCTCCTGGACCTGCAGGAGTTCCCCCCGGAATGCAAGGCCAACCTGCCAATGGGCCCCCCAAATCATGGCCTGAAGGTAAACCTGTTGAAGGAACAACTGAAGATAGGTTTAAGAAAATAAATAAATAAAAGAGAGATACTCAAATCCAAATTGTTCTCATGCAGGACCCATGGTGAACGCTGCTGCCCCATCCAACCCTCCTCAGAAGCTGATCCCCCCCCAGCCGACCGGCAGGCCCTCCCCCGCTCCCCCCTCCGTGCCCCCGGCCGCCTCCCCGGTGATGCCGCCCCAGACGCAGTCCCCGGGGCAGCCGGCGCAGCCCCCCCCCATGATGCTGCACCAGAAGCAGAACCGCATCACGCCCATCCAGAAGCCCCGCGGGCTGGACCCGGTGGAGATCCTCCAGGAGAGAGAGTACAGGTCAGGGGACTTAGTTTGGAGAATCCCAGAGGGATTTTTTTGGGTAGATGAGCCTCACAAAATGTGGGATCACTAGTAGGGATGTTTATGTCAAAGCAGTTCAAGAGATGGCTTTAGGTTGATCGGGAAGACGGGTCCATTTGCTGTATGATGCAGCTTCAGACAGAGTGATTGTGACAGATTGTATCAGACACAAGTTTCCTAAGTAAGGGTCAGTATTCTATGCTTCTTTAAAAATTATAATGATTAACTTAAAGGGACAAATTTACCAAGGTGAGAAGGCACAGAGCTGAGTACTAAAGGTAAAACACTGACTATTCAGCAGTACTTGAAGTAAAACCAGGTATGATAAAGCCCAGATATTCAACATTTTTAATAGTTAAGTTGAAGCAGTTGTCGCCTCAATGAGCAACACGGTCCCAGAGGGACTCCAAAATTAGTTTCTCTTGCATGAAATACGTAACGCGTCCAGTTCAGGTTATCATTTCACACACATTAAATCCCTCAACAGCGGAAAACAGGCAAAAACTAAATAGACGGAATAAGAACTTTGACATTTTTGTAGATGCGTTTCATTCTTGGATACTTCCTAAAGTGTTGGTTATATTCTGGTTAGGTACTCTTAATGTTTGTAATGTAATGCTTCTAAATTAAAACAGAAAATGGAATAATTAACATAAAACTTTATCGAGACTGGTGTTTTTTGCACTTCCATAACCAACATCTGATTTCATTATTATTTGTGTTTACCACGGGTCAGCTGTAGGAGGAGACAAAGATCAGCAACATGGTTTAATTCTCCAGTGTTGCTTTAAATAAAAAAAAAAAGAATATTCAGGAAAGGAATGTGATTATGTTTAATGGTTTTTACTATTGGTTATTTCCAACATTTATTTGAGAAAATAGTAACTTCCTACCCCAAAAATGTTCGATAAGTTGTTTTTTTAAACATTTTAGTACTATTAGTACAAATGTTTTGTACCATAATGAACACATTTTTAAGAAAAAAGTTATTTTTGTGTTCCAGACTGCAGGCTCGCATCGCTCACCGCATACAGGAGCTGGAGAACCTGCCCGGCTCCCTGGCGGGCGACCTGCGCACCAAAGCCACCATCGAGCTCAAAGCCCTGAGGCTGCTCAACTTCCAGAGACAGGTGGATACCACTGCTCGCGGAAGGCTTTTTTTTTTTTTACCTCCCTCCAGCTGGTAAAGCTAACCTGCCGGGCCCGGCGTTGCTCTCCTCTCGTAGCTGCGTCAGGAGGTGGTGGTCTGCATGCGCCGCGACACCGCCCTGGAGACGGCCCTCAACGCCAAGGCCTACAAGCGCAGCAAGCGGCAGTCGCTGCGCGAGGCGCGCATCACCGAGAAGCTGGAGAAGCAGCAGAAGATCGAGCAGGAGCGCAAACGCCGGCAGAAGCACCAGGTACAGGGGGGGGGGGCGTTTTCAAAAAAGGCCCGAAAACCCCGGCGAGAAAGGCGGAGCCGAAGAGCCTAACGGAAACCTTTCCCTTGTTCTCGGTAGGAATACCTCAACAGCATCTTGCAGCACGCCAAGGACTTCAAGGAGTACCACCGCTCCATCACGGCCAAGATCCAGAAAGCCACCAAAGCCGTCGCCACCTACCATGCCAACACCGAGCGCGAGCAGAAGAAGGAGAACGAGCGCATCGAGAAGGAGCGAATGCGGAGGCTGATGGTGAGAGAGAGCCTTCCGAGACGACAGTCGTAATTCCCCCGCCTTTGTCAGGACAAAGTCTGACCTCTCTGCCGGTGTCCCTCTAGGCCGAGGACGAAGAGGGCTACCGTAAGCTGATCGACCAGAAGAAAGACAAGCGTCTGGCCTACCTGCTGCAGCAGACCGACGAGTACGTGGCCAACCTCACCGAGCTGGTGCGCGCCCACAAAGCAGCGCAGGCCCTCAAAGAGAAGAAGAAGAAGAAGAAAAAGAAGGTTAATGTCTGCCTTTCACCTTCGGCTTACCCGTATTTAGCAACCCTTACTTTTTTCACCCGGAATCTTTTAATAAATTGCTTCCTGCTTTCAGAAGCCGGAGTCGGCAGAGGGCGGTGCGGCTGCAATGGGACCTGATGGAGAGGTGGGTTTAGAAGAAAAATAAATTCCAGTTCAAAGCAGTCCTGGCTGTGGCCATTTTTAAAAAATGATGTTTTCCTGATTTTGTTTTTCCAGCCGTTGGATGAGACGAGTCAAATGAGTGACCTGCCGGTTAAAGTCATCCATGTGGACAGTGGGAAGATCCTGACCGGTGGGGACGCACCCAAGGCCGGCCAGCTGGAGACCTGGCTTGAAATGAACCCAGGGTTGGTGTCACAGCTTTTTAAAAATTAAATGATGTTAAATTATGTGACGTCACTTGATTTGTCACTTTTAAAATCATTATTAATATTATTACTGCGTTGTAACACAGTCATAAACCTGGAGTTTTGCCCAAATGTTTCTGATCTTATCCACACGTGTCTTTCTCCAAAGATATGAAGTAGCTCCGCGCTCAGACAGTGAAGACAGCGGGTCTGAGGAAGAGGAGGAGGAGGTACGGGCTTGCCCCTTTAACTATGAAGCGATGACATGGCGGCCCTTTAGGACGTCGCGCTTCATTTTATTTGTTTTTTTTTTTTTTCCTTCTTCTTTTGTCAGGAAGAGGAAGAGGATCAGCCTCAGCCCACCACCGCTCCAACAGAGGAGAAGAAGAAGATCCCAGATCCTGACAGCGAAGAGGTGTCGGAGGTGGACGTGCAGCACATCATTGAGTAAGTTTCACCGTTGGTTGACACTATTTCAGAAAATACGTTTTAAAAAATCCAGCTAGTTCTTGAAAACTGGACAAACATCCCACTTTACACATACGATGGTCTCTCTCCGAGTGGAGTTCTTAGGGACTCTGTTGGATATTTCTCACACATCATTGGCCTCTACCTCCATTCTCCACCCGTGCACATAAACTAGCCCCACCTAAATAGTCAACTGGATTTCTTTAGCACAGATCAAGTGGAATGTGCTTTTAACTGTGTCGAAAAAGCCGTCGGGGTTTATTCAGCTTTTAGCTTTTTTTTCTTAATTTGCCTTTGTTCAGCAGACATTGCCCTGATTTTGGTTGCGTCTCTTTTCCGCCAGGCACGCCAAGCAGGACGTGGACGACGAGTACGGCAACGCGGCGTTCAACCGAGGCCTGCAGTCCTACTACGCCGTGGCTCACGCCGTCACGGAGAAGGTGGACAAGCAGTCCTCGCTGCTGGTCAACGGGCAGCTCAAGCAATACCAGGTACACGGGTCACAGCCAAAGAGCCAACGGAGGTCCCTCTGTCTTCATGGGCTAATTCCACCATTTTTATTACATTTTTTTACGCTCAGATTAAAGGTCTGGAGTGGCTGGTGTCGCTTTACAACAACAACTTGAACGGCATCCTCGCCGACGAGATGGGCCTGGGGAAAACCATCCAAACCATCGCCCTCATCACTTACCTCATGGAGTACAAGCGCATCAACGGGCCCTTCCTCATCATCGTCCCCCTTTCGTAAGTCCAAACGCCCGGTTTCTCCGCACGGCTGCCCGGGAACTCGTTGGGAACATGTCTCTTTCTTTTCAACAGAACTTTGTCAAACTGGGTGTACGAGTTTGATAAGTGGGCGCCGTCCGTCGTGAAGGTTTCCTACAAAGTACGTGGGCAACTTCCATTTTTTTTCGTTCTATCGTTTGTTGATATTGCTACAGCCTCTGTTTCCGCTTCCAGGGCTCTCCGGCTGCTCGCCGAGCGTTCGTTCCAATCCTGCGAAGCGGCAAGTTCAACGTCCTGCTCACCACCTACGAGTACATCATCAAAGATAAGCAGGTCTTAGCCAAGGTAAGCAGCCACCTGCTTCGCTTAGAGACACAAAAATGTTTAATTTATCGGAAAAGGGTGCGCTTTTTTTTTCCACATGAATATCCATCCACAGCCGCCATCTTTGGACCGGCCACCGATTTACCACCCTAAAACCTGGCTTTAACTCTTTAACCCCTGTAGATCCGTTGGAAGTACATGATTGTGGACGAGGGTCACCGCATGAAGAACCACCACTGTAAGCTGACGCAGGTCCTGAACACACACTACCTGGCGCCGCGGCGCCTGCTGCTCACCGGCACGCCGCTGCAGAACAAGCTGCCCGAGCTCTGGGCCCTGCTCAACTTCCTGCTGCCCACCATCTTCAAGAGCTGCAGCACCTTCGAGCAGTGGTTCAACGCCCCCTTCGCCATGACAGGCGAAAAGGTGCGCCGGGGGCAGGGACGGAGGGAGGGACTGACGGTCAGAGAAAGGCAAAACTCAAACCTGCTTTTTTTCCCCCTTTCACCCGAAGGTGGACCTGAACGAGGAGGAGACCATCCTGATCATCCGACGTTTACACAAGGTGCTTCGGCCTTTCCTGCTGCGCCGGCTGAAGAAGGAGGTGGAGGCCCAGCTGCCGGAGAAGGTTAGGCCCACCTTCCAAACATTCCTACTCACTCCATTAAAACCCCACCGCGGACCGTCTTTAACATGGCCGCTCGTTCCTTAAGTGTCAGCCCGACTCGTTGGGTTTAGTTTAAATCCATAAAGCACTTCCCGTGAGATCTCACCAGTCTTGCTTTCTCTCCAGGTGGAGTACGTCATCAAGTGCGACATGTCCGCCTTACAGAGGGTTCTGTACCGACACATGCAGGCCAAGGGAGTCCTGCTCACAGACGGCTCTGAAAAGGACAAGAAGGTAAAAAAAGATGGCGCCGCCTTAGATAGGAGTGTTAATCCAGGAGGTTCGAATGGTTGCATTCATTGCTGTTTGTCGTTAATTTCCCAGGGTAAAGGTGGCACGAAGACCCTGATGAACACTATCATGCAGCTGAGGAAGATTTGCAACCACCCTTACATGTTCCAGCACATCGAGGTGTGAAGAATTATGTCTTAATATTTTTTTGTTGTTGTTTTTTCCCTTCTTCTAAGCACAAGAAATTAAATTGCTGTTTTAATTTGGTAAAACAGGAGTCCTTCTCTGAGCATCTGGGTTATTCTGGTGGCATCGTGACAGGGTATGTAAAGCTTTAAATCTCACCGAATCTTTTTTAAAGAAAAATGTTTAAATTAAATCGTTGGCTCTACTTCACGTGGTCCCCTTTTCTTTTCTTTTTTTTTGGCTCAGGCCCGACCTGTACCGCGCCTCTGGGAAATTTGAGCTGCTGGATCGTATCCTACCCAAGCTGAGGGCCACAAACCACAAAGTGCTGCTTTTCTGTCAAATGACCTCACTCATGACCATCATGGAGGACTACTTTGCATATCGCAATTTTAAGTACCTACGTCTGGATGGTGAGGCACCGGCTTTTGGTCATTAGGTCTTTGTTACAAACCCTTATGTTTTTTTGGTTTGTTTGCTGATATTCGTTTTAAAATGGTAAATAACTTACTCGTGTAATTTTTCTCTCGTTTGCATTGAAAAGTTAAAAGGAAGTAAAACTTTCTTCTTAATTTTTCTTTTTTTTCTCCCCCCCGTAGGAACCACCAAAGCAGAGGACCGCGGCATGCTGCTAAAGACTTTCAATGACCCTGCCTCTGAGTACTTTGTGTTCCTGCTCAGTACCAGGGCAGGAGGTCTGGGCCTCAATCTACAGTCCGCCGACACCGTCATCATCTTCGACAGCGACTGGAATCCTCATCAGGTACCATACCAACAAGAGCCAAAGTTATTTTAAAGAAAGAAAAAAAAAGAATTCTGATCACGGCGTCTGACATTAACCATTGTTACTAAACACATCATGCTTACGCTGTCAAAATTGGGGATCATTTTAATTCATTTTAATTAAAAGCCAAGCGGTTGTCGACAGGAAAAGCAAACTGTCTCACTGTTAAAAAAAAAAACGCTTGGTGATCAGTGTGTGTCCACACTGCAGAGCAGTCATGTTACACACGCTGGTGGAGATATTCTTGTAAAGAGACTTTATCTGGGAAAGAAAGCTACTTTTTTTTTTTTACTCAATTGAGATATAACATCAGACAAAACTGTGTATTCCTCTTCTGCTGTATTTTTCCGGTATTTAAACCGACAGGGGGATATCTCCACTCAGTCATTTCTCTTCAAACTCTCTTAAAAAAAAACTCTTTTTTTTTCGTGCTGCCAAACACATTTAGCCTCGTCACGTCAGACCAATGACACAGTCAACGTTTGTAAATTCTTAGTGTGAATTTCTTATGTTAACACACGAACACCTTCATTCAAGTCAGGTTAAAGAAAAAGTGTGGCCTAAACACGTTTCTTTTCTTTTTAAAGTTAGTGGGAACAGATTCTTCTGGAAATTACAGCAAGTTTTAGGAGTCCGGTTGCCGCCATTGAGCAAAAGAAAAAAGGATTATGTTGTACTGTCTTGTATCGCAAGCCATAAACTATGTTTTGTGGTGTAAATGGTGCAAACCAATAGAAACACCTACAGTTACGGACTCGTAGAGCTCAAGTTAGGCGTGGCTCCTTTAAACATGCAGAAAGAACGTCAGGTTTGGTGTCAGTGGCTCACCACAATCGTCTGTTTCGTCCGTTTCCTCCTGGCAGGACCTGCAGGCCCAGGACCGCGCCCACCGCATCGGCCAGCAGAACGAGGTGCGCGTGCTCCGCCTGTGCACCGTCAACAGCGTGGAGGAGAAGATCCTGGCGGCGGCCAAGTACAAGCTGAACGTGGACCAGAAGGTCATCCAGGCGGGCATGTTCGACCAGAAGTCCTCCGGGTGTGAGCGCCGGGCCTTCTTGCAGGCCATTCTGGAGCACGAGGAGCAGGACGAGGTCGGGGCTCGAGGCGGCTGCCGCACTAGGGGGGCGTGGGTGGGTGTGACCTGAACCTGTTCTCAACTCGCCCACCCACCCACATCTGCCTGTGCGCTGCTCCACCTCTTCATTCTCCTTTTTTTTTTTTGTTTTTTTTGTTTTTTTTTTCCCCTTTTTTTTTTTCTCCCTCCCCCTTCTTCTCTCTCCCCGTGTGTTTCCTTATTTCCCTCTTTTCTTCAGGATTTCATCAATCCGAGCTTCTCCTTTCCCCCCCCCGATGTATTTCTGCTTCTTTACAAACCTTTAATGGTTAATATGATACTTTACCTTTCACATTATGAATGGTTTCTTCCTTTCTGGCTGTTGACTTTCTGTCCTGAAATAGTACATCTAACTAAAGCAGGGATTCCTTTCCGATGAATTAGAATTCTTCATTTTTCTAAGTCTTTTATTTCCCCCTCCCCCCTTCAAATGTGCGGCTGGATGTGTCATTAGTTCAGAGACTTTGCTCTGAGGTGCCACAGACGTCGGCGGCCATCTTTTTTCTCACTCTACCTCTCTGGTCTTGCTTTCAGGAGGAGGACGAGGTTCCTGACGACGAGACCGTCAACCAGATGATCGCCAGAAGCGAGGAGGAGTTTGAGCAGTTCATGGTTAGTCCCGGCTTCTCGTCTCCGGCCTCCGCGGTTTCGATGGGCTCTAATCTAGGTTCCTCCCCCACACATACCAGCGGATGGACCTGGACCGGCGCCGCGAGGAGGCCCGCAACCCCAAGCGGAAGCCCCGCCTGATGGAGGAGGACGACCTGCCCGGCTGGATCCTGAAAGACGACGCCGAGGTGGAGAGGCTGACCTGCGAGGAGGAGGAGGAGAAGATGTTCGGCCGGGGGTCCCGCCAGAGGAAGGAGGTGGACTACAGCGACTCGCTCACCGAGAAACAGTGGCTGAAGGTAAGGGAGGGGGGGCGTGGGGGGGGCGCGGCCCGGTAAGGAGAGTCTCCGCTAAGTCCGGATTCTCGCCCCCAGGCCATAGAAGAAGGAAATCTGGAGGACATAGAGGAGGAGGTGCGTCACAAAAAGACCACCAGGAAGCGGAAGAGGGACCGCGACCACGACGGCGGGCCGGCCACGCCCAGCTCCAGCAGCGGCCGCGCCCGCGACAAGGACGAGGACGTGAAGAAGGCCAAGAAGCGCGGGCGCCCCCCCGCCGAGAAGCTCTCCCCCAATCCCCCGTCGCTCACCAAGAAGATGAAGAAGACCGTGGACGCCGTCATCAAATACAAGGACGGGTGAGGTCTCCAGGCACATCCAGACGGTGTCTAACGTGTGTGTGGGAAATAGATAAACGACCACGTTTGTGGTGTTGGGGAACAGGAAATGAGTGCTCAATGAGCTATTGGCACGAGGCTTTTTTAGGCGGCTTTACCAAGGGACTAAGGCCATTTGGACGGTTTCATGCTGCACTTTTGAAAGCAAAGGCTTTTTGTGGGGGCCATTGCCCCACATTTCGACAGTCAGCCATTTTCAATTAGAAAAGTGCTTCTTTTGTCCAAAAAGTGTTTATTTTTATTTTTTATGAAAACTTTTTCAGAAGATATTGTCTTTTTTATCAAATTTTCATTTTTAGAGGTCTAACCCTATCTAGAGCAGCTTCCCTGTCCTCTGAAAGTGACGTGCTTCAGACATTAGAAATAATCAAGACTGAACACGCATTTAATCCGTTTAAACGCTCATCAGATATTCTCTTTGCCGAGGGCAGCTGTGAAAAAGACTTTCTTTAGGAAGGGAAACAGGGAGAAAAGGCCAAGCTGTGCCAAATGACTCAAGAAGGGGACTGAAAATGAAGGACACCCCAAAGCTCCACCCTCCATCAGAGCCTGATGGAGGGTGGAGCTTTGGGACCAAGCCTGGAGAGAACTATCTATGCATGAAGACTACTTCAACAAAACATTTTGACATTTACGTTTATTAGAATTACACAAACTTGTATTTTAGATTTTTCCATTTATATTTTCTGATTTATATAAACGGCAAGTCACGATTTCTTATTTTCCCTCGAAATGAGGAGTGGCTCAGGGCTTTTTACACATCGTCTTAAGCTGTAAACACCCCCTTCTCCCCCCATATCAGGAACGGCCGGCAGCTGAGCGAGGTCTTCATCCAGCTCCCGTCTCGCAAAGAGCTGCCGGAGTACTACGAGCTCATCCGCAAGCCGGTGGACTTCCGGAAGATCAAGGTGAGGGGAGAGGGGGGGCGCCCTCGGCTTTGTCCTCATGGGGGTGCTTTTATATTTCCGCTGGCCTAACGCTGTCCCACCAACCCCCCCAGGAGAGGATCCGCAGCCACAAGTACCGCAGCCTCAACGACCTGGAGAAGGACGTGATGCTGCTGTGTCAAAACGCCCAGACCTTCAACCTGGAGGGCTCTCTGGTGGGTGCATCCCACTTTTAAAGATATTCGAAACCATACCCCCCCAAAAACGACAAACATCCCTAACTCGGGCACAAATTTCCCAGATCTACGAGGACTCCATCGTGCTCCAGTCGGTCTTCACCAGCGTGAGGCAGAAGATCGAGAAGGAGGACGAAAGCGAGGGCGAGGACAGCGAGGAGGAGGAGGAGGAGGTGGACGAAGGCTCCGAGTCCGAATGTGAGCACGACAAGCGTTTAACTCATTGGCTGCCAAAGACGTCTATAGACGTCAATTCAAATACAACCGCTGACTGCCAAAGACGTCTATAGACGTCTTTTATGTTTTTAAGCGAGAGTGACTGGGGGACGATCTGCTAAAGCTTGTCCGTAAATATCAGGCTTCTAGACAGAGTATGTACTAACAAATTCACCCTCTAGGGGGCAGTGCCACTTTTGATGGGAGATGAGCATAGATTGTAGGCAAATTAAAAAAAACGCAATGGTTCGCTATGAGAGAAATGGCGCCGGTGAGACACACGTCGAGGAAGAACAGAATAAGGTAGTAACAAAACATTTTTCCTGATGAAAGAAGAGAGTCTACTCTTTCTTTTGGCGTGTTCGGTGTTTACATAGTCATAGCACAAACTATTCTGTGGCTCTTGAAAAATCAGTCAAAATGCTCAAAAAACTCTGGCAGTATGGGACTCTCTGTTCTGGAAATGACTGGCAGTCAATGAGTTAAGAAGGCGAACTTTAGTTTTTTTCGTTTTGTTAAGAAGCGATGCTACACAGATCCGTGTGTGATCTTGGGAATTGTTTTCGGCAGCTCGCTCGGTGAAGGTGAAGATCAAACTGAGCCGCAAAGAGAAGGGCGAGCGCGGCGGGAAGAGCCAGCGGCGGAGGGGCCGCGGCTCTCGGGCCAAACCAGTGGTCAGCGACGACGACAGCGAGGAGGAACAGGAGGAGGTGAGGCGGGGGGGGGCGCTCGAACAGAGGCCGGATCTCGCCTTCTGACTCTTTTCTGTCGAAAAAAAGCAGCTCGAATCTGAACCCGCGTCCCGTTTGTGTGTTTTTTTTTTCTCCAGGAGCGTTCGGCCAGTGGCAGCGAAGACGACTGAAGCCAACCACTTGGAACTGGACCAACAGCCCATGATTGGAAATTCGTATATCGTACTTAGCTACAGCAGGGAAGCAGTTGGGGGGACTAGTTTTACCTAGATGAGCTGATTTTTAGGGAGACGATTGTCTCGTCATTAAAGTATACCATTAATGAAAGGAAGAAAAAAGAAAAAAAAAAAAGAAAGCTATGAACCATCCACTTCATATTTAAAACCTTTCCCAGTATGAGTAGTAGTGTCTCTTTGCCTTTTTTTTTTTCTTGTTTTTTCTCCTCAAAGTGGAACATTGACAGAGCCTGAACTATTATAGACTGATCGTGGGCCATCAAAAAGCTTTTTTTTTTTTCTTCTTTTTTTTTTGTTAAAGTCATATTAAATTTGTTGTCTTATACTTTGAGACAAAGTGTATATGAACCAGGAGTCCCGGCATTCCTCGAGCTCCTTTTTGAATGCATGTTGTGCGTGTCTGTGAAAATGCACCTGGATGCGTCCTCACTATTAACTCTGTGTTTAATTTAAAACTACAAGCGGGATCACGGTACATCCCACCCTGCAGCCCCCTCCCTCTCAGGTGACATATGTAATGGGGAGGGAGGGATAGGACCATTTTTCTCGTGTCGGTGTCACTGGATTCCAAAAAATGACAATAAAGGCATCTCTTGATTCAAAACTGTTGTGATCGTAAGTTTTACTACGCAGCGAAATGTTGGTATACAGGCATTCAATTTGAGGTAAGAATCCACTAAAACTGGGAAATGGGGAAAAAAAAAAGAAAGACTAAATTCTTTCATCTGAAAGTCAAAATGGAAACCACTTAGTTCCATCTACAATATGTGACGTAATACCTTAGAAACTGACATTAAAATTATGTGCTAGGCCATACTATTGGTGTTTTCTATATTCTTATGTTGGCCATTTTGTGTTTACTGGTGTATATTAAGCACTTTTTGTGTAGCCTTTAATGCTACAATCAAAAAAGTGAAAGATACCCCCAGAGATTTGACTTGGCACTCATCAACACAGCTGCAAATAACATCTGTATTTGCTGTTTCTTTACACTAGATGGCCTCCTGAGAGCATCTTGCTGTCCCATTTCTACCGGCTTTTGCTTTAACTACTGCTGACTATTGCTGAGCAGGGTCTGAATGGAGCATGGGATTTCCTTTAGCCAAAAGAATACATTTAAAAAAAAAAGGAAATACTGGTGAATACTGTTCCTCACCTCGATTTTCTGCTCCATATTTGTAGCCCCTCTTACCTGGCAGAAAATGATTCCTGTGAACACCACCATCAAGCTACAGCAGATAGAACCAGCTTGATTTTATTCTACAAATATTTTCTTACAGCAACATGATTGGATGTGAGCTGCTTAGTTTCACAAAAGAGCATTTGTGTGAGATTCTGATGTAAGCTGTCTTGTCCTTCAACCACTCAATATATCTATCGGATATATTTTTTTCAATCATTTCTACATTTCATTCTAAAATCTCACTATTTCATATTTGCATTCGGTCATTCCGTCTTTCAGTCTTCACAAGATTCTTTACAGGCTTGAGCAGAGAGCCATTTGCAGAAAAGTTGGAGGGAACTTTCTTCCTGAAGGGGAAAGTGGGAACAAGGTCTTCCCTTGATCATTATGGGGAATGTGAGATCACACCTGGTGAAGCGTTGCCTTTGAATTTTCATCCATGTCTCCTTTTTCAGAGAACTGGCCCATGTTTCCAGCATCTTCTGCACCCCCAATTCTGTTCATGGTTTCAACTTCCCTCCCCGCCATGTGTGGTCTTCAGTGGTTGGTCAAAACCTGATGCCCATCGCTCATCTTTATCTGGTGTGTCCCGAATGTGTTGCTTTGACTTTTCACGGAAACTGAATCTTAATTCATATAGAAATTAAGTATTTTGTTTTGTTGTTTGAAAGAAGTCATTGTTTGAACTAATTTTTGTTAAAGAAAGCTATGCTTCTGTAACAATGTGGAGCTTTTTCTATCATCCACATTTTATTGCTTATAGGCATTAAAAGTATAAAGAATTACTTTACAAAACTTAGAATAGGTTCACAATTCCTGATTCAACGCATCCCTATTTATTCTTTTTTGTTTTGGCATAACAACAGTTTTCATTGACTCATATTCTTAGCTAAAAGTTTCAACCTGCCATTGCGGCCATAACTCTGTACAAGATAAACTACTCTAGGATACCCTACTGTAACATCAAACTTTTTCTACCAATTTTTCATATTTTGCAAAGTATTACCATTTATTAATTGGCAACTTTATTTGTAATAGTGGATGATTAAAAAACATCCATACTCCTCTAAATTTGCCCTACCCTGACCACACCCACATCCTCCTCTTGTCACATTTAGTCGGAATGCCTTTCCCTGCAGGCCTACTCACCTGCCTGAATGAAGGTTTCTTACATGAGCGTTTGGCTCATTGGCTGATCAACCAAGAAAAAAAACCTCCACATAAGCCTCATTGAATCATCTCCTTTCAACAGAACAGGAATCTTATCTCCCTATCGGGGGGTCAAGGTGTTGAAGTCAAATGTTAACCCTTAGAGGAAACAAGAATATGCAGCCACTCCCAAACCAGAAAGTCCAGCTACGTTTTCCCCATCTGTGTGTGTTAACACATCTTCTTGGGAAAGATCGGCTCACAAACACAATATATTGTTGATATGCAAGATGCTGATTCAACTTTGGTCACAGGTTCTGAAATTGAAAATGTAAGGTCCCCTGGCCAAGAGCCAAAAAAGAGAGAGAACTTCAAATGAAAGTGTAAGAGACAGATTTGGGAGAAAAAAAATCTGTTCCAGTAACCAGTTGTGTTTGTTTTGTGAGGGACGATTGTGAAAACTACTTCACACTGGAAAAACCAGAAACTGTTTACAGAGACTGTGCTAAAGAGACTTGCCTAATGAAAGAGATACGATGGCCATCAGTTAGAGTGGAAGGGTGTGACCTGTTGAGGTTTAAAGACTCTTAAAGACGACTTACCTTTGCTATTGTTTCAGAACTTTTAGCCGTTTAATATTGTAGCCTATCTGTCCTATTATTATGGATATCAAAAGGACATGAGACCTGATCTCTGCCCAAAGGATGTCGGAATCTGTCAAATTCCAAGAAACTCGATGTTACACAATTTCAGATTCCTGTCTGGGTGACACGTTGATTTACTTATATTAGGAACCAAGAAAAATCATCTAATGTTTTCTGGTTGATCCTATTAATTATAACTACTAGAGCTTATGGGAAGAGAGAATAAGCATTCTTTTCCCAAAAAAGGTGCTGTGTTTTCCACTGTTATAGCACGTAATCCTCAAATTTTAGCCAAGTTGCTTAGTCTAAGGATACTAATCATCAAGAATGTTTTCATTTGGAAATAACTTAACGTAAACTATTGTAAGGTAACTCAATTTTTTTTTTTTTAATTATTGTTTCCACAGTTGCTTGAGCTGACCTTACCTGAGTAAGGTAAGTGACTAGAATGTGTGTGTTTGGGTTTGTGTTTGCAGCGATGAGTTTGGACACAAAATACAAACTTGATGACGTATCGTCAGCTGCAGAGTACGGTGGAGGGAGCATCATGATGTGGAGCTGTGCGTCACATGGAAATGAAATTTAAACAGAATTCTGAAGCTATCTCGGAATAGCAGGTAGTTTTCCGGCTCAGGAAGACTCCCAACCAGTCAGCACCCTGACTGTCAGTCAGAAGTAAGCTGTCTGTGGAACGACCTAAAACGAGTTTTGATCGAAAACCCAAACTGCTATTTAAATCCGAAAAGACCCCTTGTTCCTACAATTACTTCTGAAGCTTCTGTAATGCGGAAAATTGTTACTGCACAGAAAAGTTATAGTACAGCCTCTCAGACTCAACAGAGCCCTGCAACAACTGATTGGATGGTACAAAAATGGATTATTTTGAGAGCTGTAAGAGCACAATAAGATACCACGTCAACAGTGACTAAACAAGATTGGTGAACTTCACGTTTCCATAAACTGTGCAAACAGTGAAGGTCAAAATTAGCCTTGCGCAATGAAGAATATCTACAGCTGGTTCTATAACCGCTGTGGTGATAGGGTCAATGTTTACTTATCACTGAGACCACCTACGTATGTAGCGTGTAACGTGTTGTTTTTCTGAACAAAACAGGAAGCTAAAACACTAGATTTTTTTTTTCTTTCTTTGGAAGGGGGGTGTTTTTCTTGTTTAATCCTACTTATTCCTGCTACTGTTTTCATTCACAAAAGTAAATTCTTCTTCATTTCTGCTGATTCACACCAAACATGTTTGTAGGTTGTATCCTCCTGAGCTTTATCTCCGCGCCTCCTCTGTGAAAGTGTCACCAGCTTATATGTGCACATGACTTTAAAACTTTGTCCTCATTGCTGTACTAAACTATAGATTTTACGAGCGGTCATAAAACTCAATTCAGGAAGCGGTCATAAAGAAGACTGAAGCGATTACTGTACAGCCTATCTGTAGTATTTCATTACAGAACATAAATTAGAAACAACTGGATGCATAAATGATTACAAGTGTTTCTTTTAAACAAAAAGTATTTACTGTAATTAGTGGCCTTTGAAGTGTAAAGAATTCTCTTTTTGACAAAATGACATTCGCATAATTGATTTTAAGACATGAGGTGGTCCTCTGCATTTTTTCTCCTTTGCATTTTTTCATTTTCAATGGTTGAAAGTGGTTAAAGGAGTCATATTTTGAGGCATTTTGATGGCAGAGGTTTTTCTCCAGATCAGAATAGAGATTTGAGGGGAAAAGGTGGTTGTCATTTTTAGATAGAAGCCTTATTAGATGAGCAATATCAAGTCCTTTACAAGGAAAATACATTAATTAAACAGAATTAAAACATTTGTTTATCTATTGAAGTTGTTTTGCTTTAACTAAGAGTAGGTAAATAAATAAATAAGTAAAAAAATACAATTAATCTAAAAATGATCTATTTTGAGGAGAAAAAAAAGTTTATTTTTTGAAGATATATTTAAAAGGTTTAGAAAACCTGAGCAAACAGCTTAAATCAATCCCACAAAACAAAGTGTTCAAGTTTTTCTAAAAATGTGTTTGTTTGTTCTTTTTGCAAACAGATAAAATAAAGAATTGGACAAATGGGTGACCTTATATCCAAATCTGATGTATCTGGTCGAGTTCTGACTGTTTCTATTGTGTTAGTTAAAGGGGGTCAGCAGAAACCAGAGCTGACCAGCTCCATATCTGCAAAAAAACAACACGACTGCTATCAGCTGCTCACACTTTTTCTGATCATGTAAATCAGTCATTCTTTGGCACTGGAATTTATTTCCCTTCCTGCCCCACGTGGCATCGGGGCACGCTCGCTCAGGCCGGACTCCTTCATTTTTCTGGACCTGGTCTTGGGTATTGAAACTCTGGACCTCAAATCCTCCCTGAAAGGGTTAAACCTCATAGTAAAATTCATTTTCTCCCCCGGAGCTCCGCCTCCTGATGGTCGAGGGTGTGTACCTCCGGAATCACACCATCCCCCAGACCCCGCCTTCGGCTCCGTGGGCCCCCCCGCGGGCCCCACCCACCCGGGGACCACATTGAAATGGGTCTGATGTTGTCAAACACAACACTACGTCTCTCGACAGCTAATAACAACAGAGCCAGCTCCTCAGGTGGAGGTGGCCATCCCAGAAAAAAAAAAAACCAGAACCGAGCAGAGACCCAGAGGCAGAGACCCGGATCCATCCTCCAGAGCGCCCCCAGAAACATGATCCTCCTGTTTTACGCCTCGCTGCACGTCCTCCTCTGCCTGCTCCATCAAACCAGTAAGTCTGGATCAAATATATGGATCAGAATATTATCATAAGTCTTCCGTTTTTATTTTGGCACGGCGTGCGTAATTCTAGTGGTGCGCCTTTTGGATCAAAACTGGGCTATTTATGCACTGGTTCGGTAAAAAAAACTAAAAAAAATGCAGCTCTCTCATTCCAGGAATAGAAACAACCCAATTTAATATTAAGGTGTTATTTGATAGCCAATTTTCTCTGTTCTTTTTTCTTTTCCACACCTTTAAATGTGGATTTTTGGATGAGGCGCCTCGCTTCTTTTTGCTTTCATTCATTCGCCGGAGCTCAGCTCGAATCAGATCCTGCAGCCAATCAGGTTTGAGAGAGAGAGAGAGAGGGGGGGGATCTGTGTAAAAAAAAAACAATAAGGGTCATGCCGGGTTTTTGGAAAAGCCAGAAAAGCCAGTTCCGGGAACTCTGGAACTATTCAAGGCGTTGTAACGTGTGCTAAAAAGCACTACATCATTAAGGCCAATCCTTTTCTCCTCGAGCATTTACAGGTGCACTGTGTCTTCCAAGATGATGCAATTGTCCTGCATGTTTACAGGAGGCATGAATGGAAGCCGAACCCCCACCCCCAATTCAGCTTCCACTCACCAAAAAAAAGGGGGAAAAAAAGAAAATCACTGTCAGACCTGTTCCCTTCCCAGTTTGCTGGTTATGGGAATTGGTGTGTGTGTGTGTGTGTGTGTGTGTGTCTGTCTGTTGTGAAACAAGTTGGAACTGGTTGTCACCTGCACTTACGGTCCCAAAGATATGCGTCATTCACAGTTATTGTACCTCAAAGATGTGACAAAATGCTTTTTTTTCCCCCTCACCTGGATGAGACGTTTTTTTAGCCTGTTTGCCTAAAATAACCCCCCCCATCAGTACACTCTCTGACCAACCAGAGTGACCCAAGAGGAGATAATGTCAGGGGATATTTGAGCCCGTCCCGCTGATCAGATGGACACGTCTGATGGGTCAGGTTTGCCAGCGAACCTGGACGAGGGGCACATTTGTTATTTTCCCAGCTCTGATTTTTGTACACGATCGATAACTCTGCCGTTCGGTTCAGTTTGCCTTTCAAGGTCTGAACTTTAAGCCCGTTAAGTCAACAACCGGCATGAACTTGGGCTTGATAACATGTCAGCTATTTCAAAGAAAAGGGTGGTTCGAACCTACTCTTAGTGATGTCAGCATTTTATCCCGTTTCCTTTATTTTTTAAAATCTCCATCTATATATCTACACGCCTGTGTCAGGGCTTATCCTGATTATTATCTTTAGAACAAGGTCAGTAACGGGCATCCTCTCACGTGGAGTCATAAAGAAATAAATAGGTTATCTGTTTGCAATTACTATAAAAGAGTCCCCCTCAGCCGGCAGGAGCTCAAAGAGAAGCCGGCCACTTTCTTTTAACTGCCCTTAACAGCACCAACCGTGGCTAATGTCACCAGACGCTTGACTTCAGGAGGAGGCCATTACGATTGGCTACAGTATGACGTGAGAGGTGCCGGGATGCAGAATTCATGAGCTCCCATCCTCCCGTTTTTTTTCTCCTGAGGCACACACCGACGCAAACGGAGGCATTCCAGCATGAATATTTCATCTTAGAACAGAAGGAAAAGTGGCCTTTATTCCGCTGCCTTTAAGGTGGTGCTACAGGCCAAGCTGCTGATGAGATCTCTGTTAGAACAAGTCCCTCTGACCCCTGTCGACAAAACCAGGTGGCAAACCGGGGTTCCGACTTCCCCGGGGTCAGCGAGCGGGCCTCCAGTACCTTTTCACTGACCCCCCGATTCTTTCATGTATCGTCTAATTGCTTCTCCCGGTTCAGCGGCTTCATTAGACAAATGAAACGTGGGGGTTGGGAGCTCCACTTTGTGTTTGGAGTGCTTTTTTTGCCGGCAAACGCTGCAAAAACCGGAGTCCCGTCATGGGTGTGGACTCCCTGTGTCATCAGGCATGCTCGGGACCCTGAGCTGTGTCCCTTCTGTCCGAGCTGTAGGCAAACCTTGCGTTTCCCCGTATTTCGTTGTGTCATGCCAGAGTACAGTGCCAAAGCACCCCCCCCATGAAAAACACTGGAACTTTTATCATGTTTACTGTGTCTGAGCCTCTGTTGCAACGTTCCCGTAACCCAGACAGGAGACAGTGGCCTTTAGCTCAAATAAAGCTGACGAACGAGTCAACTGACACCACTTTTCTTCGAGATTTGTGATGTCTTTTTATTGGCGAGGCCAATGTTATATGTTTTAAATAATTCCCATCTGGGATTATTAAAGTAGTTCCCTGATGTGGTCTAACTAAAGCAATGGTCTAATGAGCTTCTTGTTCGTATCCTTCCGTCCCAGGTGGATTGGTAACATGCGGAACCCACCAGTTCCAGTGTGGGAACGGGAAATGCATCACGCTGAGGTGGGTGTGTGACGGCACCGACGACTGCGGGGACGGAACCGACGAACTTCCTGGCACCTGCCGTGAGTAGCGTACCTTGCCTGGATTAGGGTCGTCCCGATACTAAAATGTTCAACTCGATACCGATACTCGATACCATTTGCGATACCACAAGGATAAAAACAAAGACCCCAAAATGTAACTGAATTTCGACAGGTCGGTGTCTTTCGTTTCAAACTTATCGATACTTTTGAAAATGAGTATCGTATCCGGATACAACGAAAGATACTTTTGACGACCCTAGTCTGGATAGAATTGCTCCACTTCCAGTCCTCAGAGGAGAGAAAGCACACTCAGTCCCCGTCCTTGTCTTTCGTCCACTCTAGTGGCCAGAACTTGCCGACCGACGGAGTTCAGCTGCCGGGACCGCCTGAACCAGTGCGTGCCGGCCACCTGGCGCTGCGACGGGAAAGCCGACTGCGAGAACGGCGCCGACGAGGATGGCTGTGGTGAGCATGGCGCAGACCCCTACTGGTAAAACAGCCCTCTTTCTTCCTTTTCCGCCCTCCTGAAAACCTCCCCGGTCTTCTTCTCCTAGCCGCCAAGCAGTGCACGGCCTCAGAGTACCACTGCCGCAACGGCCAGTGTGTCTCCGCCTCCTTCGTGTGCGACGACGAGGCGGACTGCGACGACGGCAGCGACGAGGCCTCCTGCCCGCCGGCCACCTGTGGCGCCGCCTCCTTCCAGTGCAACAACAGCGTCTGCGTGCCCCGCCTGTGGGCCTGCGACGGCGAGGCCGACTGCCTGGACGGCTCGGACGAGTGGGCCCAGACCTGCGGCACCGACAGCCCCGACTCCCCCACCGCCGCCCGGCCCTGCTCCGACCTGGAGTTCCACTGCGGCAGCGGGGAGTGCATCCACGGCAGCTGGCGGTGTGACGGCGACGTGGACTGCCTGGACCGATCGGACGAGGCCGAGTGCGGTACGTTCGCTACTGGTTTTTCCTCTACGGGCCGTAAGTTTCCGTCCTCGCTAAAATCGGGAACTCCCTCTTTGTCCCTCCAGCTCGTTCCACCTGCCGTCCTGACGAGTTTGAATGTGGGGATGGCACCTGTATCCATGGCAGCCGGCAGTGCGACCATCAGTACGACTGCCGAGACCGGAGTGACGAATCCGGCTGCGTCAACGGTAGGAATAGTACCACTGACGCAATTCAGGGTATATTCCCATTTCATTAAAAAAATATGAGCTTACCTTGTATTTGATGACATCAACGTCTTTTAACAGCAGAGACCAAACCTTTGGTTAGGGTTAGGGTTAGGGGTCTGTTATTTAGCTGCTTATAAAGCCCCAGATGTTTTTAGTTGGCTGACCTGTCAAGGACTCAAAGTCTTCAACTACAACCCAATGCGTTATAGATACAGCCTATTTTCAGGGATTCTCTTTCTAAAAGATGCAAGGCCTTCCCTTAAAAAGGCTTGGCTTCAGTGATGATAGAGCCTTGCCAGATGTTCAAACAGCCAGTTCCGTAGACTCCAACGCATCTCCATAGCGCCAAAAAAATGTTCTTTGAGCGAAAGAACTTTAACTCATCCAGGGATGACGTTATTAACAAGTAACGTGTCGATTTTGTGTGTGATCCGAGAGGCTCAGCCTCTCAGAGGTGCCCTCTTCATATGTATTCATTTGTAAATAAACCTGATGAGTTCCATCATGTTTCTCTATCTTTTTGTAGCACCATGTACTTCAGCCTTCTTTGTTAAATGTTTCTGTCTTCTCTTTCAACGTTAGCCGGAATAATTGTTTCACTTTTAACAATTGGAACTCTTTTTTATGTTCAAATATGAATATTGGTAAACTTATTAGTTTGCAAGTTTACTTTCGATTTGTTTATTTTTTAGCTAGCATAAAAAGCAGTTTTGGGTTTTTTTTAAACTGCAGCAGTACAACTGCAGAACCTCTGAGCTGTTTCTGTAGAATAATTTTTCCTTTTTTCCCCCAATCTCTTATCCACAGTGACTCACTGTGAGGGTCCGACGAGGTTTAAGTGCCGCAGTGGGGAGTGTATAAGCATGGAGAGAGTGTGTGACAACAAGCGTGATTGTAGGGATTGGTCAGACGAGCCCATTCGGGAATGTGGTGAGTACAGCTCCTGTCACTCCTGAACTGTTTAATTACTACTCCACGGGTCTAATTAGGGCCCTTCCATCTTCACAGCTCCCATCTGGCCCAATAGTTATTTTTTCTCCTTCTCTCTGCAGGCTTCAACGAGTGTCTCTACAACAAGGGGGGCTGCTCTCATATTTGCAAAGACCTGAAGATCGGCTATGAGTGCTTGTGTCCATCCGGATTTATGCTGGCCGACCAAAAGCGCTGCGAAGGTAAGCAGCATAACGTCCCCCACCTGTCGGCAGGCTCTCATTCCAACGTGAACTTTACTCAGATTACCAAATGATCCCCCCTCCCCGGTCTTATTTACCATGACGCAAAACCTTCCCGTCACTGGCTGTGCTTTCAGATAAACTGAGGACTGGTCATTCTCGCTGACTCGCCAGTGCTCTGTTTAATTTCCGCCGCTTGTTTGCTTCCCAAAATCAGATATCGACGAGTGTGCCAACCCGGACACCTGCAGTCAAATCTGCATCAACCAGATCGGCAGCTACAAATGCGAGTGTGAGGAGGGCTACCAAGTGGACCCGGCCACTAAAGCCTGCAAGGCCATTGGTGAGCATGAGTTTTTTTAAATGGAATTTTTGTTTTTTAGGAGAACGATGTAACAGTTAGATGTTGAGAGCTGGTTATAACCATTTTATTACAATAGACTTTCGCAATTTCTCTAGATAAAGACCTTGTCTGCTGTGTATCTTCCCTTGCAAGAGGGGTATGAAATATTAAGGCTTTTGTCCCAAATGATGAAATCATAGTTTGCACCACAAAAGAAACTAAAAAAGACAAAAACTGCAACACCTTTGATTCCTTTAGTTTAATGCATTCCAAGTGCAAAGACCATTGACTGTGCGTGTCCCAGTAAGATGGTTATGACCAACAATTCCCAACCATTCCCCAAATTAATCTACATAATCTAGTTGGAAACTGCTGAGAGAATAAAAGTTTTTTATGCTTTTTTTCCCCATCTTTTATTTTGTAGGTACCATCGCCTACCTTTTCTTCACCAACCGGCACGAGGTCAGAAAGATGACGCTGGACAAAAGTGAATACACCAGAGTAATCCCCCGCCTAAAGAACGTGGTAGCCCTCGACATGAACATGGCCACGAAAGAGCTCTACTGGTCTGACATCTCCCAGAAGAAAATCTACCGGTGAGCCAGACGAAAAGCCGGAGGAGGGCAGTGTTTTGGTTCCCCGTACCCTTGTTTTGATGTGTGTTTTGACCTTTGACCCAGAACTCTGATGGACTCGGCCGATGACTCCTCTCACCACCACATAGTGATCGATAGCGATATCGATGCTCCGGAGGGGATCGCTTTCGACTGGATCCACGGCAACCTCTACTGGACCGACAGCGTCCGCAGCACCGTCTCCGTGGTGACGGCCGACGGCAGCCGCCGCAAAACTCTCTTCCGCCAAGATTTGTCAAAGCCCCGCGCAATCGTGGTGGACCCCCACAGCAAGTAAGCAGACCGGAGCTCCTCTTTTCTCCATGTCTTTGCTTCATCCCGTGTCTTATCTTTTCTAAACTCCGTTTTCTCCCATCTCAGCTTCGTCTACTGGACCGACTGGGGTAATCCGGCCAAAATTGAAAAAGGAGGTCTTAACGGAGGAGACCGCAGCGCTCTGGTCACCGACGACATTGTTTGGCCTAATGGCCTCACACTGGGTAAGCCCGTGCTTTCTGGTCCCACTCGCTTCAAGTTGCTGATTTATTAATGACGACTAGCAGGAACTCTGGTCTGACCTGTCCACAACCCCCTCTCCACTTTCTCAATTCCCGTCACTTTTCATCCCAGACCTGCTAAACCAGAGGCTCTACTGGGTGGACTCCAAGCTGCACACTCTCTCCAGTATCAACGTCCAGGGCGGGGGCCGCCGCACCCTCATTATCGACGAGCACAAGTTGGCTCACCCGCTGGGACTCACCGTTTTCGAGGTAGATATCCGATAAGGCGTCTCCTGCATTTGGGAATTTGTCAGGAAATGTCGTGTCTAAAGGACTAATTCTACCTCCCTTTTTAGGAAAAAGTGTTCTGGACAGATGTCAGTAATAGCGCCATCCTCAGCGCTAACAGACTGACAGGTGAGGACATCGCACCGGTGGCAGAGCACCTGTCCTCACCGGAGGACATCATCCTTTATCACAACCTCAAGCAGCCTGCCGGTAAGTGTCAAACCTCGGAGGATCTATGATTTAATCTATAAAAATGCATATTTACCCGCACAATAAACTATTCGTATTTGTATTACGGTTCAGCTGAGTAGCTTAACTAAACACTATATCTTTTTTCACTTGTCAGGGAGGAACTGGTGTCGGGTGGCTAACGGCACCTGCGAATTCATGTGCCTGGCGGCCCCTCAAGTCGGTCGACACCCCCCTAAATACACCTGCGTGTGTCCCGACAACATGATGCTTGCCAGTGATATGAGATCATGTGTTCCCGGTGAGTACAAAGTCATACTTAATGGCAAATTCATGTTAAACATCAAATAGTTCAAGTGTCCAGTATGCTAAGTGTGTTCCTCTATGTGTGCGATTCACCAGCCGTGCCGACCCCTGTAGCTCCTCTGCGTCCTCCGACCCCGACTACACGCCCCTCCCGCCTGAGGCCGGCGCCGCCCAGAACCACGCCAAAGGCCACGCCAAAGACCACGCCAAAGACCACCGTTAGGCCCCCGGTCCGCACCACCACGGCGCCCGTGATTATCACCAGTACCACGGCCAGGCCGAGGCGGCAGACCACGAGGCCCCCGGTCAGGCCCACCACCAATCTGCCAAAGATGGCCTCGCCACAGTCGGAGAAGCCCGAAGTCCAGACGGCCACCACCGAGGCTCCAGTGACGTCTCCTGGTAAGATCCCACGGTCGAGGAATTGTGTGTTTAGCGGAGCACGTTGTTCTCAGCCACGTGACCGGCCGCCCTTTAGCAGGTCAGCCGCATGTATCATTAACTTCCACTGTTTTGTTTATCTCTCCTTCAGATGTCCGGCTTGTATTTGCCTCTGATAGGCCGAAGACGGCCCCCACCGGCACTTTAGCGATGTATTTCATCTTACCTCTGGGTGAGTGGCTTTTTAGAAGGAAGTTTGGACTCAAATACAAACTAAGGTAGCCATCTCATTCCGGATCCGTCTCTCTCTGCCTCTAGCCATCGTTTGTCTGGTGGCTGTTGGTGGCGCGCTGCTGTGGAGGAACTACAGGCTGAAGAACACCAACACCATTCACTTTGACAACCCCGTTTACCAGAAAACCACCGAGGACCAGGTGCACATTTGGAGGAGTAACAGCCCTGATGGGTACACCTATCCAAAGGTAAGCTACTCCTGAAATATTCCTATAGACGTAAATGGGAAGCTACTTGATTCTAACTAACTACAATATCTAACATCATTCTCTTTTTTTTGTTTGTTTTTACCCTAACAGAGACAAATAGTCAGCTTGGATGAAGAAGCAGACAATCCAACCTTCAGTGAAAACTGAGAAATGTAGGGCAGAGTGGAGATAGCCCCTCTGTGATAAGCTATATTCAAAGTCCTATGGCATTTTTACCTCACGCGGCACATAGATACGACCGTCTGCCAGCCTTGAACCACTAAATCCTCACAAACAATCCCCCTACAGAGGGGCAACAGGGTGTATTCAGGTGAATTTTATTTTTTACCACTTCTACAAACATACCAAATCATGAGATTACGGACTTCTCTGTTATTTTTCTTTCCGGTGAGGTTCGAACTGGGATGGTGATGGTGGAACCGGAAGTGTTGCCTTGCTTTTTCGTGCTCCGTTCGTAACTTCTTCTTTTTTTCTATGTCCGTCCACTTCCTGACCGGTCCAAACCCTCAGTCGTCGTCAGGCCAGACGCGTTTTTGTAAATATCCGTCCTGTAGAAGGTGACTAGCTGTTAATGGAACGTTTGCGTACGTTTGTAATTTAAAAATGAGCAAGATCGAATGTGTATTTAGTTAGTTTGTTACTAGTTTGTGGCCCTGCTGTGGAACGGGTCTGCTGACAGTGACTTTATATTTTCAATTATGTTGGTAACAACAGCACAAGCGCCAGTTGAGCCTCTGTGACCTCGTCCCATGACAATGTGCGTGCCTTATGGGAGCTGAACTCCCAGCGACGGATTCAGAAGTTGTGCGAAAAACAAAACAAAACAAAAAAACATCTGAAACCACACAAAGCTGCTGCCGTTAATCTACACTTTCACACCGCGCCGTGGTCCGACCAGTAGCTGCCGGTGGTTTGTGTTGTTGTTTCTTTCTGATTTGTGACGGGCTGGACATTTTCATTGGGGCAGAGCATTTCCCGGACGCCTGAAAAGCTTTAACGCGCCCACGTGCGACCGACAGGAGCGGGTCAAACGCCCCCGTACGGCGGCACGTGCAACGTTTATGTGCCCCCCTTCGGGACCAGTTTGCCTCATTCCAGCATTCCTGAAAGAGGGATCCAACGTTCCCCTGCTGTGTCTTTTAAAACACAGATTTCGATGGCTATTTGAGCTAATTTGTGGTTATTAAAAGTGCCTTTTAGATATCAAAACCTTGTGTTTGGATGTCCATGCTGGTGCTGTTGAACTCAGTGGATGTGAAATGGACCATTAGGACGGTTTAAAAAGGAATTATTTAGGAATATGGCCATGCTGCATGCAGATGAGGTTAGACCTAAAGTAAGGAATGTTACGACCATTCCAGTCAGACTAACCATTGATGAAATGTAAATACAATGTGGATACCTGTACATATTTGTCATTATCTTTTTTTCATTTTTTTTTTGTGGTAACAATGTTTTAACCTTTCAACACATGCTGTACATAAATAAATGCTTCTATTTATTACAGAATCTAATATGTCTGCTGTCTGTTTTTGAGAACTGTTTTTTCCAAATGTCCAAATGGGTCTTCAATATCTTTCATTGCCTGCCACAGATAGTCTATAAAAATAAGAATAAAACCCCACATGACTGATACCAATTGGGTCATTTAGATATGAATAAAACTCAGACCTGCATTAGGGTTTTGGGCTTCTGAGCCTGAAGTCGAAGAAAATGTTCACCTACTAGCTTAAAACCTCACTTTTAAGGCCAACCGTGCACCCTAGTTTTCATGCTCTTGCGTAAACAACCTGTTTTTCTACTAAAACGTCACGGCCCTCTACTAAAGTGAATTTTCGGATTGTCGACGGTATTGATTTCCTCAGAAATTGTGTTTTACCGTCCCACCTTAACCATTTATGTGGAGCACCGCTTCACAGCATGCCCCCCCCCCCCCCTTTCCCCTGTGTTTTTTTCTTGCCCTTTTGTTTTCTGTTTGCAGTCCGGGCTTGTTTATGTGGGGCTTTTTTTTTTTTTTTTTCTCAGAGCTTCTTTAGGTGTTCTATAGAAAGCAAATGTTTTCCTAGAAAACCAGGGGTCGCAGTGAAAACACACCACACTTCCCCCCCCGCCCCCGCTGAGATCCCAAATGTGAAAAATAACCACTCTGTAGCACTGCTTTCATGTGTATTGCAAAGTCATGCACATTGATTAACATAAACCTAAAGATATGGAATTACTTCCATTACATCTTATTAGTGCTCATTATTGAATACATTTTGAAAATGAAGAGTTCCTTTAGGCCTTTGTTCACATATGTATAGGCGTTTTATGCCTGTATGTTTAATTTGAGACGTGATTTCCATTTAAAAAATATGTCATTTGAATTATGAAAGGTTTGATAACAGTTACAGTGAACTAAGATAAGATGACAATCTGACTACTGGGCCGGTTGCGGCCGCCCGGTCTGATCAGCTAGTGTTTTCTGGAAGGTTTTGGGAGAGGAAAAAAAACAACATCGGGTATCGGAAAGCTCTGTGATCCTGCCCACATGTTGTCGGACCCATACATGCCAAGGGCAAAGTTCAAGGCCCAAGGGGGGAAGATCGGAAGTGTCCAGCCGATAACGCGGGCAAAAAAGATGCTGCGGCTTATCTGCGCTCACGTGGGGGAGAAAACAAGTAGGCTTTCTGCCCACAATGCAAGAGCCAATCAACAAACGGCAGAACTGTGTGGAAGGAGCAGCATAACAGCAAGGATAAATCAATGTGCGCCTCTCCTAATGTGACCCCGATTTCCCATTTTTCCAAGACCGAGAGTCCTGGGTACGGTCTGTTTCTATATGCTTTTTAAAAGGCAGGTTACAACCAAACTTTTTAAATCAATAATGTCATAGGTCAAGTGCAAAGAGAATGTCCAAGTCATTCTCAGGTGGATAAGGAGATGCTTCTCTAAGGATAGGCACTGTTTCAAAATCTTGTTGCTGATCGTGGTGTATAATTCAGTTTTATTCCCCAGTCTTACTTGGCTATTCCATGTCCCATAAAGGTAGTATTCCCGGTTCAGATGTGATGTTATTATCTGTTTAACACATGTAGTATTTGAATGCTCTGAGCACAGACCGGTAAAAGCTACCTGCTGTGACGTGATATCACTGATCCTTGATAAACAACAGCGGTCAGCTGGGTGATCGGTGCCTGGAGCGTCGCTGACCTTTGGTCGGACTGTGTTGTGCTGGAAAAATGAGCAACCTCATTCTAAAGGTACACCGTGGAGACCACAGCTTGACCAACTGTTCCACTAACATTAATTGAGCAAAGACGTTCGCAGAAAACATGACACGTGTTGACTTTAACTAGTGAATTTTGAAAGGCATCCTCTCAAATGGAATTTTTCCTATTTTGTTGCCTCACAACCAAAAACTGGGGCCAGTGAATTATTTCATCATTGCAAGACACTGCTTTAAAAAATGAAAAATCAGGGAAAAGAGGATAGATCTAACCAACTCAGTACTTTGTAATATCTCCTGTTGCAGTGGTTAGTGAGAAGTAGCTTTTTCCTTATTATCATTATCACTCAAGTTTTGCTGGTAACATGTTCCTTTAATTCTGCTTCTCTAGTTTGGACACTTTGGTTTGGAAATTATACATCATGGTGACAAAAAAGATTAAAGAAAAAGAAAGAAAAGCAAAAAAGCTCTCCATGTAAATTGAAAATAGAAACACAATTTCAAAGCAAAATCACAGAAGGGTCAAATACTTTTAAAATGATTGTTTTTAAACGCATAATCCGATCATATCATGTTGACAACCCATTGTTAAGATGTCCAGACTTGAGAAAAAATTGTTTCAATCATTTTGGAGTTTACATTGTCTACAATAATGTGTTCTTCATTTTTTGCAGATATGTTGCATTCCTAAAATACTTTGATCATTTGGTTTGGCACATGCACAAATCATAATATGTCTCAGCCTCTGGAAGCTGGTGTTTATTGTTTTATTAGATTATTCAGATTTTTTAAACTATAGAACCACCCTCACATAACCCTGAAAGGTTTCTGTTCATCTTCTTAAACTAAACACGTATAACAGAAAAACATGGCAAGGAGAGAAAGAAAGGCGGAGACTTCACTGAAAAAAAGCTTAGGAAAACGTCCCATTTTTCCCAATGACGCCATGTGGTCTCATTAGTCACGTGGGCTCGCTCCCTCAGGTCTTCCCACATGAGTAAACATTGTCTCTGTGATGAAACTCCAAACAGACCTGGTTTACTGATCAGTCATTTTTTCACATTTTATGCTATGTTATTTGTGAGGTCATCCGATTTCACTTGGTGGGATGTCTCTGATTTGGGCTTGCTGTGTCAGATGGAAGCCTAGTTTTTAATTGAAATCTTGCTGTTTTTTTATTCAGATCAAGCAGTTTCCCCATTTTTTAGGATTTGGAGTTAGATTTGAAAAAAAAAAGAATATATAAATCACCAAAACCTATTCAAGTGTTATATATATGTTAGAAAATCCCTCTTAAAGGATTCCTCATTGTGGTACATTAAAAACACAGGAAATAAATCGACACGTCGCAAGTGAATATCTGGGGTGGCCCTGAGGTTCATTACAAAAAAACAATGGAGAAAATTTTCCTTTTAGAAAATAAAAAAACAGTAAGAAAAATATTAATGAAAACATCTTCAAAATGTTGAGTTAATACCTCTGTAAACATTTTCTATTGATTTAGATATCTTCTCTTTTTTTATTTTTTTTTGTTGGTGATCATGTTTTAAAAAACGGGCAAACCTAAAATACGTAATAAAGCACATATTTAAGACATAAAACAAAAGAGTTCAGAATAAATTAACACGTTAAACCGACGTTCGCGCGCCCCCTGCTGGACAATTAAGCTAACAGGTCCTGCTCACCGGAAACCACGTGCTCAAAGTTCTGACATGCGTCCTTAGCAGCTCGCATTCCTATCCCTCATCAATATACTCAAGCAAAACAGAACGCAGTGCAGGCTTTACTTTTTTTTTTAAACATGGCCGACAGGTCGGAACTAAGAATTAACTCGAAGTTTGCGGAGAAATATGACAGGTATCGACAGAAGGAGGAACTTCAGAGGCGTAAGTGTAGCAATGCTAACCAACATGCTAACCGACCAACGTGGGGGAAACATCAGTCGGCATTCAACTTTTTGTTTCTGGCGCTGTGTCATTTGTGTAAACGCATTTGTTTGGTGTTTGTTCGGACAGTGAAGGACCGGTACGGGGACCGGGACGACGGGAGTGGCTCGGAGTCTTCCGAGTCCAGTTCTGACGACAGCGAAGTGGTTAGCATCACAACTCTGAGGCTATGGACCTGAACGTGTCCGTGTGTCTGACAAGTTTCTGTTATTTGTGGGGTGGGGGCTTTTTCTAGGAGCTTGACCCAGATATTGAGAGGGATTTTTACCGAACACTGTCGCTGTTGAAGAAAAAAGACCCCAAAATCTACGAGAAAGATGTCACGTTCTACTCCAAAGGTAAATGCTGTAAATAGCCAGGTTCAAGTTTAAGGGGTTTTTTGCCCTCCCTATAGTCACGTGACCTGACCCCTTTTGATTACAGACATGTCTGACAGTGATGCACAGCCTTCTACTTCGAAGAAAGATGCAGTTAAGCCAATGTATTTGAAGGACTACGAACGTAAAGTCATCCTGGAAAAGGAAGGGTGAGTGACTGCTTTACATTCAGTTATGGTGCATTCAAGTGCACCTTCAGCTTTCAAATCAGGAAAGAATTAACACGTGACACTTGAAATTTTTCATGTTTATGTTACATATATTACCAAACCACATCCACAGGAGCTTAAAAGGATTGAAACTGAAAGACTAGATTAAATGCAGACAGCTTGATTCCCTACAGATGTGCTCTGAGTCATATAACATGAGAGAAAAGAAACCTTTGTACAAAATCTGGCTGATCCAATTCTGATTGAAACCTGATTTTCCCAGGCTGTTTTTTAGATGTTTATGTGTGTTGCATTAATGTAGAATATACAACTTTGTGCATATGTGTATGGAGAGTTAGGGTGTAAAATGCATTTCTCAGCAAATGAATGAACAAGCTGCTGTCTGAAACTCCCCTGAAAAAACTGAAACTTAAAAATCCTGTCGCCTTATGTCTCTCCCCTATTTTAAAACATTCCATAAAACCTCTATAAACCTTTGGCAGATAAAAAAAAAACTTGCTCTGATCTTTAAAAGCGTTCATTTATTTAATATACCCAAGTAGTATCTATAGCAAACCGAGTGGTCCAACAGAAATGGGCTTTTTCTGAGCTTTTTCCTGCATATGAAAGTCCCATCAAACAGGAAACGTGGTTTTCTGACAGCCGGCATGCCTCCACATCTGATCTGTTTGATCTGATCTATGAAAACGCACAACTTTATGATTTTGGCCAATTTCACCTCCTTTATATAAAGCATGAACCCAAGATGCTGTGCAAGCAAATCGCATGTTTGTTCTATTGAGCTTATTGATTCATTTATGTTGTGGATGAGAAATGGACGGACAGTGCTTTTTAAATGGTTATTTTTTTCAACATGTGACAGTAAATATGAAGATGAGGACTACAGTGACGAGGAGGAATCTGCCAGGAGAATGGAGGTGAGCAGGCGCGTCTAAAACCGCGTTCGTCCGGGAATCGTCGGCAATGGAAGCCTCATTAATCCCCACCGCTTTTCTTCAAAGAGAGCTGCCTCCCCGAGCTACATGCAGGAGCAGGAGGAGCTAAAAGAGAGGTGAGAGGAGGCCCGCCACCAGCCGGCTGCGTTTCTGCACCATTTCCGGGTCCAATTATTTATTTATTTTGTCCCTCCACAGCTTCCGTAAGTTCATCGAGGACAGCGACGGCGAGGAAGGCGGAGAGGGAGACGGCGTGTCGCAGCTCCTCACCAGGAGGGTCAAGACGCAGGAGGAGAAGGTCAGGGCCGCCCGTCCCGTATTTGGGGGAGAGGCGCCCCCGCATGCGGGCTGACGCCGTTTTTTTTCCCCGCCGCAGGACGAGGAGGAGGCCGACTACCTGGAGTGGCTGAAGGGCCAGGCCGAGCTGGAGGGCTCGGAGGAGGTCAAAGACCTGGTGAGTGCGCGTTTTTTTTCCGGCTGGATGAGGAGAGTCAAACGGAAGCCGTTGAGTTTTTTAAAATGATCTTTTTTTGTGGAGGCAGAAATACTTGCGGGACTACTGGAACGACCCCGAGCTGGACGAGCAGGAGCGCTTCCTCAGGGACTACGTGCTGAACAAGGGCTACCTGGACGGAGAGGAGGAGAGCGACCGGTGCGGCCCCTTTTACCCGGGAACCGCAAAATCCACCGCCACTGCCTCTCACTGCCGTTTCCCCTTCCGCGATCAGGATCCCCACCTACGACGAGCTGGTCCAGGAAGAGGTGGAGGACTCCGAGGAGGAGGGGGAGACTTTCTTGGAGAGGCAGGAGGACTTCGAGAGGAGCTACAACTTCCGCTTCGAGGAGCCCGACGCGCAGCAGATCAAGACCTACCCGCGCACCATCGCCACGTCGGTGCGCTCCAAGGACGACCGCCGGAAGCGCAAGAGGGAGGAAGTGAAGGAGAGGAAGCAAAAGGTGGGTGCAATCCCCGCCCCCCCCCCGGTCTCTTTCTTTCTCTGGGTTCGTGCGGCTGGCTAACGGCGGCCTCTCCCGCTCGGCCCCCCTCAGGAGAAGGAGCAGAAGCGGGAGCAGCTGAAGCAGCTGAAGAACCTGAAGAGGAGCGAGATCCTGGAGAAGCTGCACAGGCTGCAGGAGCTGACCGGCAACCAGCAGCTGGCCTTCGGCCAGGCCGACCTGGAGGGAGACTTCGACCCGGCGCAGCACGACCAGCTGATGCAGGTGCGTGCGTGCGCTCCGTCGTTCCAAAGCGTGGGAACCAGGTGTAGGACACCGAATTTATTTGTACAGGACAATTCAAAGTGGTTAAAGTAGAAAAATGCATTACAAGGTGGGAGTTGAAGAAGTTAGGCGAAATGAAACAAACAACAATCATTGATTGAATAGATGAACGGCGACTAGCTCGGATAAAACGTCATCTGTGTCACAATCAGGAAGGTGACAAAAAGCAAGAATGTTGTTAGTTTTTTTATTGTTAGTTTTTTTTTGTGCGCCCGCTGCAAACGAGAACTACAGTTAACACAAAGACGTCATGAAGCCTTTTCCCTCCGTGCTTGCAGAAGTTCTTCGGCGATGAATACTATGAGGAAGAGGAGGCGGAGAAGCCCCAGTTCGACGGCGAAGACGACCTGGGGGGTAAGCCGAAAGCGTGCCCTGTTCTCATCCCAGGGCCATTCAACAGACGGAGGAGCTGTTCAGTTATGAGCTCTCAGGTCTACAAAAAAAAAAGAGAATTAGTGATTTTAAAAAAAGTTTTAAACCAAGTAAAAAATTTGATTGGCCTGACAGCATTTTATTTGAAGCTCTTGTCATTTCTTGATATGATACAGATTCAACAGGAAAAATTATGTGTAATTTTTTGGGGGAAAATAGGTATTTTTTATTTGTCCTTTTCCCCAGATCATATAATGAGATGCAGTCATAGCGTTAGTCAGACCTCTCTTTTAGTCCACCCATCACTCAAGGCTAGATTACCGCTTAACCGGCCAATAAATGCCGATCAGAGAAGTTAAATAAAGAAGTTAATTTGCTGACTACTTAAAGTCAGGTGTGAACCGGCTTTGACATTATGTGGCCGTCGATGCACAACAGCAGATGTTTACAATTAGAGCGTTTAGATTACAACCAAGATGGGCTTGAGTTTATTATCATTCTCTATCAAATGTAGTCTAGTTTGGTGTATAGAGCTGTTTTTCTGTGCGGTCTCGCAGAGCACTGGAACTGGGACAGTTGGACCGGCGAGGAGCGCGAGGAGGGCCATGGCGAGGAGGACTATGGTGGGGAGTACGACGCCTCGGGAGCCCACTGCGAGGACGAAAACTTCATTGTGAGCCTCCGTCTATCCGCAGCCCCTCCCCCTCCGGGTTGGGCCTAGCCGCTCTCATCGGGCATGTCGCTCTGTCCCCCGCAGATGGACGCCGACTACGACCCCAGCCAGCAGCCGGCGTCCAAGAAGAAGAAGAAGAAGGAGCGGATGAAGATGAGGAAGGAGGACATGCCGCTGCTGGGCAAAAGGAGGAGGAAGTCCCACTTCGCGGAGGCCCTCTCCAAGGAGAAGCCCGCCTTCGACCCCCGTAAGTGGCGGCGACCGGGCAGTGACTGGGCGGCGGGTCGGCGCTCGGCCGCGTCTGACCGCCGGCCGTTGGTGTTTTCAGAGGAGAAGACTTTTGAGCAGTACCTGGACGAGTACTACAAGCTGGACTATGAGGACGTGATCGACGACCTCCCGTGCAGGTTCCGCTACAGGCAGGTCCTGCCCAACGACTTCGGCCTGACCACGGACGAGGTGAGGACTCCTCTAAAGCAGAAAAAAAACAAAACAAAGTTTTGTTCACTCTCTTGGCTCCCACTACTGCACACCAAACATGCCTGAGGGCAGTCTCGGGCTGAGGGAGAGCAGAGGGAGTGAGCGGACCCCTGCGGTGATGAGCCTCCAGCTGACCGACCTGGTATTGCCGCCCTCCAGGGGGAGCGCTCTGACCAGGACATGACCTCAGTGTAATCTTCTCTCTGAGCAGAGCGATGGGCCTCGGCGCCGCAGGGCCCCAAAGCCAAACCACTGACCCCAACGCTTCTCTCCCCCCCCCTCAGATTCTCACCGCAGAGGACAGGGGGCGGAACCGTTGGTGCTCCCTGAGGAAGACGTGCATGTTCAGGTACCCCCCCGAAGGCTCACTTCCCCACATCAGCCCGTCATCCATGTTTTTTTTTCTTCTTTCTTTTCACAGATCTGAAAAGGAAGAAATGAGCGACCTGAAGAACTTCAAAGTCAAATCACAAAATGAAAAGAAGAAGAAGGAAATCCTCAGCTCGGTGTACTCTGAGTGAGTATAAAGCTTTACACACCAAGAGTAAATAGCTTTTATCCTGTGGCGGTGAGTGACTTTTTCTTTCCCTATTTTCTTCTTCTTCTTTTTTTTTCTGAACCCGTGCGGCAGGGAAGGGACCGACTCGGCAGATGCGAAGACCAAGGTGGGTAAGAAGAGGAGGGATCACCTGATGAACGCGGAGAAGCAAGACAAAGGAGCAGAGGAGGGCTCTGTACAGGAGCCGCCCGCCCAGGATCTCCAGGAGGCAGCCGCCAGCGGGGAGGAGGAGCTCCTCATACCCAAGAGAAAGAAGGCCAAACCGGAGGAAGGACCCAAAGGAGCGGCGGAGGGGATGGAGGTGGCGGTGGCAGATAAAGCCGAAGGCGGCGTGGAACGCAGGACTGAAAGGCCCAAATGGTCCCCGAAGAAGCACAAGCGCCCGGGCGGGCGGCGCCTGTCGGGAGCCCCGGGGGTGAGGATAGGAGGCCGGGACTTCAGCAGACAGAGACTGAAGGCCTACGGGCTGAACCCCAAGAGACTGTACTTCAGACAGCTGGGCCGCCAGAAACGGAAAGCTCAGGAGAAGAACCTGAAGCAGAAGAGCAAGGAGTGATGATGTTTTATTATTTTTCCTGTTTAGTTTTTTTTCACTGAGCTGTTATGCCACCAGTACATGTGCTGTGTCGTGCCCCAAGAGGTTAAGATTTAAATCATGATTGCTCACATTCTTAAAAAATAAAAAGGGGAAAGAAAAAAAATCAAATTGTGATCATTTTAATTTGACCTTTTGAGTAAAAATTTGTTTTAGTATTTGAGCGAAATTAAGGTTTGTTTGGATGGATTTTTTGGTTTATTGGCTCAAACATTTGTGCTTAACTTTACATTTCTGACTCAAATTTCATCTTAAATTTTGGTCTTTTTCCTCCTCATTTAATCACTTTTACATGTGTATTGTAGAAATGACTGCAAATTGGTAAACTTTGATTTATCCTCTTAGATTCAGATGCTTGTGTGAACAGAGAAAAGTGCAGTGTAGTTTGGTGTTCATTTTAAGTTACAAGTTAATTTAGAGGAAAAAAGAACATTGGATATTTTTAGATGTGCTTTATTATTAAGGGACAAAGACTTTCTGCCAAAATGAGGCGCATTATCCCCCATTGAGAAAGCACAAACTTTTCTGTTTTTGCACTTGAACAGAGGTCTCAAGATCATATTCATTTTCAAAGAATAGAAGAAGAAAAAATTGAAACTCAAATAAAATACGGTTCAACCAAATCTAAAGCTTGATATTGTCCAGGTAAAGAAAAAAAATAGTGCAATAAGTAATGGACATTTTTCCTTGAAATTGTGATAGAATGGTATCACTATACTTCATAATTACTTGATTCTTGCTTTGAGAAATGGATATTCCACAACTTAACAGTTTACAGGCTCTTTGGGTTACCATAATGCCATTTCCCTCCTAATTTCCCTTTAGGGTTATCAAAGTATTTCTGATTCCGATTCTGAAACGCGTTTCCGGGCTGTTCCTCACCTCCCGGTCGGCAGGTGGCGGTACGGCTCATTTCGACGGGCGACAACCGCAATAAACACCAACGAAGAAAAGAGGCGCGCTCGAAGCCTGCTTTTGAATCGCGGAGGATAGCTGAGCCGAGCAAACGGTAAACAATTTTTCCCCCTTTTACTTTGAGCGAGTTTATCACAATATTACCCACAAACTTTATCATTGCAAGTTGAATATTATTTACCGGTATTCATTCGGATTTGGTTCGTTAACGTAACTGACGTGCTTTCACCTACCTTCAACCCGGTAAACAAAAACAACACAGAACGGAACTGTCGTGCAGTTGAGCGAGTTTTCGTTCCGCCTTTGTTAAAATATAACCTTCAAACAACAAAACCAATGCCCAAGAGTCTTTAACTGTGTGGGGGAAATTACATTGATAATTTGTATTGTCAGTGTTTGCTATATTTGTGGTCTTCAACTCAGCGCTGCTTCATCTTGGTACCAAGAGAATATATGACGTGTGTCCCTTTCCTGTGTGTGTTTCTCAGTGGTCCGCAATGGCTCAAGGTCACAAATTCCAGGTTCTGGAGGAGACCGGGGAGGCCCTGGTGGGCTTCATCAACAGCAGCCAGCCCGAGAAGCTGCAACAGGTCAAAGTGGAGCACCAGGCCCTGTTCGACCGCCACATAGAGACGAGGAACGTGGTGACGCAGATGTTGAAAGGCAAGACACCAGACGCCATGTTGCTTTTGCAATACTGTATTATACGGTCAGCTTTCAGCGTCCGCTGCCTGCTCTGCCTCCAGATATGGCCCAGGTGGAGGAGAGGGCCGGGCGGGGGCTGCTGGACATGCAGGAGGAGAAGCAGCGCAGGGACCACGAGCTGGAGAGTCTGGAACAGCAGCTGGGCCGGTGCACGGCCAAGAGCCAGACGGCAGATGCAGAGATACAGTATCCTTTCCACGGCACATTTCCAGGTCCGGCGGCCACTAAACATAGAGATGAAGCCCCCGAATGACATCTCTGGTGCTGTTACCGTACGCAGTGTCAGCTCCGGGCGATTTAAAGCCAGAACAAAACATTTGAGAGCACTTTTAACTACCCGAGTTTGTTCTTTCATTTATTGTCGCTAAATTTTGGCGGGGAAAAGGTCAGTAGCTGGTGGCACGGTGGTGTGGTGGTTAGCACCGTCGCCTCACAGCCAGAGGGTTCTGGGTTGTAGTCCCCGGGGGAACCAGGACCTTTCTGTGTGGAGTTTGCATGTTCTCTCTGTGTCACCGTGGGTTCCTTCCACAGTCCGAAAACCTGCATGTTAGTTTGCCTGGACATTCCAAAGTTCCCTTAGGAGTGAGAATGTGTGGTTGTTGGTCCTTGTGTGTCTCTGTGTGGTCCTGTGATGGACTGGTGGACCGTCCAGGATGCACTATGGCAGCTGAGTTCATTTGCTGTTAAGTATATGTTGTTGTTATCTGTGGGTACCAAACACGGATGCCATGATGATCCAGTGGAAAATGGGCTTAACCCTATTTCAGCCTCTCTTCGGCCATTTTGCTCCTCATCTAGCATCCTATACATCTCCTCTTTTACTCGTGTTGATCTGCGATTTCCCAGGCACTTCTTGTGCTTTGGAAAGCTCAGTTTAGTTCAACTCTTATAGGACTGGCAACTGTGCTGTTGCCGTGGTTACACATCTTAACAGAGGTTAAGCAGCAGAAGCCTTGCCGGCCGAACGGAAACCCAACCGGCTCAGATAGATACACCAAAGAGAGTGAAAATGACTGAAAGAAATGTAGTTGGCGTTGGACCTGTGTGGAAAATAGGACCTTTAGTCCCCCCCCCCCCCCCTCTCTGTCAGATTCCTTACCTTTCCTCCAGGTTTCTGCAGAGAGAGCTGGAGAGTCTGAGGAACAGCGAGCACGAGCTGGAGGCTCTGCAGAATCAGGTGGACGAAGACACCACGGAGGTCATCCCGTCAGCGGTGTAAGTGGGGCTGGACAGTCCACTTCTATATGTACACGTGACCTCGGTTCACCGTTGTTTAGGATCGGAGGGGGCTTTAGACATCTATACAGCGCTGCCATGGTCAGATTGATGTTATGGGATGGGTGTGTTCAACACAAAAAGTTGTGCTCGCACTCAGGATCAATAACTCGGGTTCCGTCTTTATTTTGTTCGAGTTTCCACTTGTAACTTTTTTCTCTGGCAGGTATGTGGCCCAGGTCTACTACCTAATAACCAAGATCAAGTGGGAATATGACACTCAGCCCAACATTTTAAAAGGAGGTAAGCTTCGATTTGATTTGTAGAAATGTATTTTACCGTTATTTTTCATTATTTATTTGCTGTCCTCTTTTTCTTTTGTTTGTTTTGTCTTGTTTTTTATGCTAACTGACTCGAGACAGAAATTGAATTGTCCTAACCGTCTTTTCAGTGCACTACGGAGCCGACCTGGCGACTCCCATCAACATCGACACCTCGGCGCGCTCCCGGAATGATGTGAGCGACCAGCTGTGGGCCTTCGTCAGCACCGAATGGTAGAGGAAAGACGGCTGTGCTCTCTTGAGATTTATGCACATTATTTTTGTCGTGTCTGCGTGTGTCCTCGGTTTTTGTCATTTTTGTTATTAAATATTTTTTATCGCTCTGAAATTAGATGTTCTTTTTTCTAATCTGTTTCGGCGCATCCTGCAAAGGTAAAGAGAACTATGTTCCGGATGTAGACCTCTGAAAAGTCATACTTTTTACAGAATCAGGATAATGGGGACCAACATGAGATTTGTCACTAGATGTCACTGTGGAGCTTTCTTTTTTTTTTCTTTTTTACTTCTAAATCTGTGAGCCTCCACTCTCCTCAGGACTTCAAAGCTTTGATTAAATTGCTTTTGCTGATAACTTATTTTCTCCAGATGCCTAAAATAGGAAATTAAGACGCTGGCAGAAAAAACCCGAGCAGCGACTCGTCTAATTACGGGTTGAATTTAGGTCACGTGATGTTTTTCCACCATAATGACCCGGGAGCAGACCTGCTTTCTTCCCACACCGTCAGCCGGTATCTGAATCTGTCCTCAGCTCATTATAAACTGTGTCCGGACCCTATAAACACGGCTTTCCATCCAGTGTTGCTGTCTGACTTTTATGGGCTGTAAACCAAAGAATGGGCAATATAATTTGTCAAATCAGATGATTAACAAGCTGTTTCTAAAGCTGTTTGACTAGCTTGTGCTTTGTTTTTTTTAAGACTAGTGCTATTATAAGACCTCATTTAAAGTCTGAATGTGAGCAATTCCCTTATATAAATAGTGACAGTGGATGGCTGTGAATTAGAAAAAAAGCGTGGTCCTCGTTGATTGAAAATGATACTTTTTTTGTGTACGGCAGCGCGGTGAGCGGTTCATAGTGGGCGCTCCACTATGCCACCTCTTTACGGTAAAAGGACTTCCAAGCAAAGGCTCTTTTCTGCAACTTCATCAAGACCTCAGTCTCAAGTGGTTTTCACATGTGGTTTACATAAAGGTGGGGTTTTATCGCGTAACCTTTTTCCTCTCTCATTTGCTCTCCTCACATTCGAAGCAGCATTTAAGAGCTTAGTTTCAGTTGTCAAGTTTTAAATGCACAAATGACATGTATATATACATAGAATGTACATTTTCTTACCCCCAAGGCACACAAGACATCCAATTAGTTTTAAATAGAGAAGAGGAAGAGTATGTAAGGAGTAAAAGTATGTAAGAGGAAGTGATAAACTCTTCAGATGAGAAGCAGGGAAATGTGTAAAGAGTATTTTGCTATCCAGACAAATAAAGAAAGAGACATACCAACATGTAAAAATCATTCACATATATTTAATCAGTGCACATTGAAAACTGGCATCATAACTTAAGTGAGGGGTTTTACAAAAAACAATACACAGCTCAGAGTTTATACTTTACTAAACACAGGTAAATAGATATCTTATCTTTACATTTCTGTACAGTATTACTTCTACGCCCGCTCATTTGTTTGGGTTTTGATTGAATGCCGCTGTTATCTGGGGCCTGCGCTTTTGCACGCAGTAAAAGAGGAAACACAGATCATTTCGTGGAAGAAAAACGAGCTCTCCTCGAACAGATAAGTGGTCTGGCAGGCCGTAACTTTTTGCCCGCCGTACTGCAAACCCGTTATAAACCCAGGAGGCGTTGACAAGTCTCGGGCTGTCAGCTTTTTATTGCTTTAAGGCATTTATCGTGTGTTGCTACATATGTTAAAAGGGACCTCCGGAGCTGCGAAAAAAAACCACCCGGCTCGGCCCCCTCCGTCTGACGTCCTCGCCGGGCCTCTGATGACCAGAAACTCACATGGCAGAAATTACGTGGGTTTTGGGTGTGGACGCTCCCCGGGTTTGCAGCAGCATGCAGCTTATCATTACAGGCTACAAAAGCGGGAGGAGATAACCGGTACAAGCTCACGCTTCGGGCTTTCCCCACTCCTGTCAGATGCACGGACTAGGACTATTTATGTAAAACATCTGTGCAGGCTTTTTTGGTTTCTCCTCGTGCGCAAACACGAAGATGAGCTGTCACTTTTTATAGCAGAGGGAACGTCCTCGGACAAAAACTGGCCTTACTACAAAAGTAAAAAAGACGTAATGCTGCATGAAGCTGCGACAAAGGGCGCAGGTATTTACGATTTTCATATTTGTAGGAAATATACCAAAAAAACATGATATAAAAAAAAACGAAATGCTTCACCGAAAAATATATTTCTCCCAGTTTGGACGTCTTGAGTTGTCAACGAGGGGTGGATTCAAAGTGCAACGCGAAAACTTGCCCCTTCCCATGTTTATCTCCCAGTCTTGACCACATCTGAGGTTTAGGGGTTTGAGTCATTAGAGCTTTGACCCCCCCGTGTCATGTCCTAACCATCCTGGGGTAAATGGCCTTGATGGTGGAGGGGGTACAGTTCCCGGTGGACACGGTGGTATCCAGCCCCTCCAGCCTGTGAGAGGCCGCGTCCGTTTTGCTGGTGCTGCAGTCCAGGAAGGGCATCCCGATCTTCTTCACCTGCCCGTCTCTGGTCATCAGGCAGGGCCGGCACAGCAGCCGGAGGATGGCCTTCCTCATGTCCTTGCTGGTCAGCGTGTAGATGATGGGGTTGAGGAGCGAGTTGAACATGGCGATGCCCAGGAAGTAGTCCGCCTTGAAGAGCACCTTGCAGCCTTTCACCGGGCAGCAGAAGTCCAGCAGGAGGAGGACGAAAAGCGGGAGCCAGCAGGCGATGAAGACCCCCAGGACGATGGTGACCGTCTTCAGGAGCGCCATGTACTTCTGGGACTTCCGGTACAGGCCTTTCCGCTGCGGGACGGAGGCCAGGCGCTGCGTGTTGAACTTGACGATGCGGAAGATGCGGACGTAGAGCACCACGATGGACATGAGGATGGCGCTGAAGACGCTGACGCAGAAGAGGATGTAGCTCTTGGCGTAGAGCGGCAGGACGGTGGAGCACTGGTCAAGCCGGCCCATGCAGTTCCAGCCCAGGACGGGCAGCACGCCCAGGAAGACGGACAGCACCCAGCTGGCCCCGATCAAGGCGAACATCCGGCCCTGCTTGTCCCCCTGGTACGGCTTCATCCTCACCATGGTGACGTGGCGCTCGATGGCGATGGCCAGCAGGCTGATGACCGAGGCGGCCAGCATGATGAACACGCCGCCCTCCCGCAGGAAGTACAGCACGGGGGTCAGCTTCAAGGTGTTCGCCCCGGACGTCATGAGGTTGACCATGTAGGTGAAACCCGCCAGCAGGTCCGAGAGAGTCAAATTGCCCAGTAAATAGTACATGGGCACATGGAATTTCTTGTTCTTCCAGATGGCCAGAAGCACCACGGCGTTTTCCGCCACGATGAGCAGGCAGACCAGGAGGAAAGCAACCGTCTCGGGTTTAAGTCCCTGGGTGTACTTGCCCTCGTTCAGCTTGCCCGTGTAGTTGTAGTGCTCTTTGATGACGGCATTGCTCTGGTAGTCGCGGAACATCCGAGAGATTCCTTCAGAGGGAGACATGGGGATGGCGGATGGTGATAGCAGGGGGAACCCCGAGAAGTCGATCTTTTCTTTCTGAGTCTTTTCCGTTTTTGAAAATCAGATCATAAGACGAGACGTCAAATAGTCCTGCGGCTGCTCATTCTTCCGTGTCTCGTCACGTATGTATGCAGGGGGGGAAACAAGCAGACTTTTTGACTCGATCTGAAAGGATTTCCTGTGCTTTGAGAATTTTCCTCCACAAATCTTTTTTCTCGGTCTCAATTCCCGGGAGGCACGCTAGGAGGCGATGAGAGCCAACCTGTGTAACACAAGGGAAAGAAAAAGAAAATTACTACAAATAAACAATCCAATAACTCTAGATCCAAAACTACTTACAGAATGGATATAAATGATAGCAATAATGTTTAAGTGTTACTAAAGGTATAAAAAATCAAAACATTTCAAACGAAACTCAAATTAAGATATCAAATGAACATGTTAATGACATATTTCTATGTTATTCAACATTTTCGTATATATTTTTAAAATATTTATTCCTAAATGATCATATTACAAATGAAACAAAACATTTTGCAGGCTCCTTTTCATCTGCAAAAGAGCGACATCTGATGCGTAATCACGCATCATCCGATCATTTTCATCTGCAATTGATCGAAAGCTGATGCGTAATTACGCATCAAATATATAAACTTACCAACTCCCCCACCTACATATTCATCCTAAGAATTAAATCTATATAGGCATGTGCGTTAAGGCACAATTGGCTTAAAAGTTTTGCAGAGAAACCAAAGAAAATACATCCAGAAGTAAGAAAATACGACGGGAGGCTTACCGCGCATGAAAAAGACTCCGCTGGAAATGTCCAGACAAACTTTTGCTCAGACCGATCCCACGGCCGGAGGAGAGAGGACACGGGCACGCTCGGTCACAGCCTCTACCACAGCCGCGTGAGAGTGTGATGTGGGAACGGATGAGGGCAGGACTGAACTTGTAGTGGGTTGGTCTGTTAGTGCCCTTCAGCGATTTTCCTCCCTCCTTCTTAAGAACCCTCCACCTCCCTCCCCACTTCTCCTATTTGCCCCCGGGATGAATCGGAGCTCGATGACGGATAAATGATTTCTCTTTGGCATTGCAAAGAGGAAGAAAGTGTTCTTTGCTTCTTATCGGTTTACCTGCGATTGGCTAAAAAAAACCGAGTGCGCCTTTTTCTCCTGCTCATCTTGAAATACGTGCAGTGGTGACTGCAGACTGCCTTATCCACATGACTGATGGCATCTGGCTCTGTTTTGCTGTTCAGAAACCCCACATTTCAGAAAATAACTCCCAAATATGCTTGATCTGTAATTATCTCTCAGATCACACATCAAAACGCACTTCTGCTTTTTTTATTTTTTTGGAAAACGTGCCATTTTCTACAGTTGGGATCTACAGATCTCCTCTCAGACATGATTGAAAACACATTCACACGTCCCATGTTTCTGCTTTAAGTCAGGATTGTGTCTGATATGGTTTGAAAAAAGAGCTCTCATCTTACACCCCCCCCTCCCCCCATCACCCCTCTCCAATCTAGGTTTTGATCCACAACATTTAACCACTAAACATAAGAATTTCTCTAGTTCACTTTAAAGTCTGTTATTGTTCTTTGTGTCCTGTGTGTCCTTTTGTTTTGTTTTTTATCATTTAACAGAATATTTCCTATGAGCTGTGGGAGACTTTCTGGCTCTAAACTGGTAATTACATTTGAGCTGAGACGTATCAAAGAAATTAAGACTGTGATTGATTTCCTCTCTGAAATCAGTCGCCCTCTCATTAAGTACCCAATCACCATAGCAAACACAGCTGGACAGATGCAAATTCCAGGAAAGATAAACAAATGGATACACAGAGGACAGCAATTTAAAAAAAGATTCTTCAAAAAGAATTTCTAGAAAGGATTGATCAGTTAAATATGATGAAAACCCATATGGATTACATGATTTCTGAAAGTGAAAGCTCTTATTTATCTGTCTATCTCATGCCTCCCCCTGACAACAGGCAGCTTTCAATAGTGCAAATGAACATGAATAAATCAATAAACAACGTTAATGAGACAGTTGTGGATTTTCACTTTCGGCATTTGCCCCCCGTTTGCTCCGTAGGGGGCATTTCTGGGCTCCTGAAGCTGACCACTGACCACGGCTCTGCAGAACAACAAGGAAACTGCGTAAGACCCGGGTGGATGGGCCCAGGACCGGGCCGGGCCTTCACTCAAACAGGAAGCCGGCTCATTGTGTGCCTCGAAAGGAGAGGGATATCCTTGAGAAAAAACACAGATGAAGTCACTCCTCAGATAAGGACGGCGGGGCAGTGGGGTTTGTGATCACAGGGTGACGTACGGCCAACGCTCTGTGCATATATTTGGCGGCCTACTCATATCCAGGCCCTGGTAATGAGTCATTTAATGAGTCGTGTTTGTTTGTAGCCGAGCCACTGTTTCCGATCGTGTTGTTTTTATGATGACATCACATCGTTCTCCTTGTTTTTAACCCTTTAACATCACGCTCAATAATAACGTTTCGGTATGTGAGGCTAAAATTAAGCATAAGTTATGACATTTCTTATTTAAAATAATTTCCCACTTTTACCATAAAGTCTCACCCCAGCTATCTGTGAAGAAAGGCATCGATTCTGCTTGTTATTGCTCAACAGAAAAGAAAAAATAAGCAGAGAAACAGTGTTTTTTTTTCTAAGCGTGGCTGTTAAAGGGTTAAACCACATTAAGTAATCTCCAGCAGGAGCCTGTCTGGTCGCAGACGAGTGGGTCCCCCACCCCCCTCCTGCATCCCAAAGCC